ATTGAAACTTTTTTAATTGGTGAGTACTGACATGTTGTTACTGTAAATTGGGAGCCATCATCATTTCATTACCTCCGGAGGTTGGCATATTGGCCATGAATTGTTGTTGCTGTTGTTGTATCCTGTTTTGCTTTTCTTGTATGAGAGCATTTGTTTGCATATCAATCATGTCAATTAATTTTGAGACGTGATTTTGCATTTGCATTGAATATGGAGGAATTGAAGCAACATAAATTTCATCCTCTATATTTTGATCCTCAGGTTGTGCAGGGCTCTTTAGATTGGTTGTATCATCAGCTGAGTATTCCACAAAGGGTTGAATTTCTTTAAAAGTTTGATTCAATAAATTGAGAGCATTAAATGACCTTGCTTGAATAACATCATAAATAGACGGAGACTGATATACAATTCCTGCTGCAATATAATACAAATTCAATAATTTAGGATTATTCTTATCTTTCTTTTCCACTTTTTCTTTTTTTACAATATAGAGTGTGGGTGATTTGGATCGTTTTGAATCAATTGAATATCGGATACCTTCAGTACTCTCCATAAGAGCATTCCGATCAATATTTCCAATTTGTTGCATACGCACAGTTTCATTCACAGACTTTTTTTGAGTAGAAGGGATTGGTTCGATTGCAAAAGTACTCGAGAGCAATTTCTTCATTCATCAAGGGCCGATTTCGTAAGAAAAAATCATCACGCCATGTTTTGGTTGCCAGTGCTTGATCATTTGCATCTTCTTCTTCTAACAAATCATCCATATCGGCATTCACTCCCGAGATGGTATCGAAAATTGATGACGAGACTTTTCTGTCCATTTTTTTTTAAAAAATAAAAATAAATTTTTAAAAAAAAGGGTCCTTATCATTTGAAAAATTATTGGACAATTTGAACAATTTAAGGAAGTAACATAAATGACTAGAACTATTAAGCAACTCAAGAATTTCAAGCAACATGGTGCACAGGGAGAGGAAGAGATTAAAGACTTATGAACAATTATGTCACAAATATTTACAACGTATTTGAGTCGAAAAAGACAAGAAAGAGATTTGCAAAAGAGGATGTCATGTATAAATTGCAAAGATAAAAATTTCCGATTAAAGTAAGATTGGATTTAATCTATTTCTCGTCGTTAGAAATCACCAAGCTAACCGGTTTCTGACTCTCGTTTCAAGAAAAGAACAACTTACTTTCTGAGAGAACACCACACTCATGATATGAGGCTTGTGTTATAGAGTGCTACGAATTGTCAAGAAATTGTCAATTTCTTGTAAATTTTTTTTCATATCAAAAAAATGGACGAACTACCGTACGAGGAACAAGAGTATATTATTAATTCTGGAGTTGAGATTGATAACGAATTAAGAGAGGAGGGAGACGATGAACCTCCTTCTATGGATGAAATGGAAGATGTGGAAGGGGAGGATGAAGAAGAAACTGGTGTTGTTGATGTTGAAGAAGATGAAGGAGACGATGAAGATGAAGAGGACACCACTGAACAAGATGATGATAATGTTTTGAATTTTGGTATGTTGTTATGTACGAGCATTGAACCGATTGATTCCAACTGTATTATGAACAAAATTGTTGTGGTGGATCACGATCCCACGATTTATTTTTGTATTTTTATCTGATGTTCCGATCACGGCGAAAATATTAATTTTAATCATGATGAATAATAATAATAATCGAAATCACATTGCCCAATTTAATATTTTATCATTAACTGATTTTTGCAAATTGTTTAACTCTTGTTGATTAACTGATCACTATTAATTTTGCATTTGCATAATTATATTATATTATATTTTAATTGAATCATCTCGTATGATGGTAAAAAATCATGGCCTTTCATCATATTGTAATTCTTCCATTTACTACTTGCAGACAATGCTCCTCTTCTGGAAAATGTTGAAGATGAAGAGGAAGATGATGTCCTTATGGGTGATGATTTGGCAGGAGATATTTACTATGGAGAATACGAGATTGACCAAGATACTGTACTTGATCCATCCTCTCTTTTTGATATTGGACGCAACTTCCCAGCGCGATTGGAAAATTTGATTACAAGTGGAATGTTCTCAAATTTGAGTGGACAATTCCCACTTCGTTTGGGGATGGTGCCTCCACCTTACAGACCAGGAGGTGCTTCATCAGCAGATTATGAACCTGTTGGCACACAAGCTCCCTCAAGCAGTTCAACATCACGCTCTGACACTAGCCGTTACGGCGCTGCTCGTTTATTCAACATTGATTTTAGTGGAAGAAATCTTGATTATGGTACGACTGTTTTTTCATCTTCAGGACTTTCTCGCTCTTCAGCTGCTTCGGTACCTGCAGAATTGGAACAAATGCTTACTGAATTGTTGAAAGATGACTCTGATTCTAGCTCTAACATTTTAAAGCCAAAAAAAGTATCTGAAAGAAGATCATCATTTGGGCTTGGATTGACACCAAATGCACCAAGAAGTATAAGTCCAACCAGGTCCACCTCACCAACTGAATCTGATGCGAGCGAAGCAAGTGACGCAGAAGAACCAATTCTTCCTCGTCCAATCACTCCTCAACCCGTTCAGGATCAACCTGTTACTCCAACAGCAGCTACACCAGTCACTTTTGAACCTGTAGTAACACCAAGCAATTTGCCAAGTAACATTGTGGATGTGTCTCCAATTCCTCAGGTTGATACTTCACAACAATCAACTTTGAATATCCCTATTATTCCAGAGGTACCACCATCTGTCACAGGAAACACAGATCTCAGCACTAGTGCAGCAACAACAACCACTACTTCAGATATGATTTTGTTACAACCTACCAACACCACTGTCGAACAACCATCAGTGGTGACCCTCGAACAAATGATCTCAAGCTTGTCTGGTTTGGATTCATTGTTGCCTCGACAATCAGCTGCCACAAGTAGTTCAATTGATGCAACTGCAAATACCACTGCTACTTCTTCAAGTGACGCGACACTACCGACAGCAACTCCAGTCGAGCAAGAGCAAGCGACAAGTAGTAACACCGCTCCTCCTACCTCTTCCACAACCACTACAACAACCCAAGAATTTGCCATTGACCCTCAATTTTTGGCTGCTATTCCAGACGACATTAGACAAGAGGTACTTGCCACTCACATTGCATCTCTTGTAGACATTTCTTCCACAAGCGAGGAAACAACTATTAGTCAAGATTTTTTGAACGCTTTGCCTTTGGAGATTAGAAATGAGGTTTTACAATTAGAAAGAGAATTGCGAGAGCAACAACGAAGAAGATCTGCAACTAGATCATCTCCCTCTCATACCTTACCAACAGCTCAAGAGACCACCCCTTCTACTACTGGAGCAGCGTCAGCTACACCTCCTCCATCCACTACCACCTCTTCAGCAAATCCTCCTCCAACTCAAGAGCGTGAGCTTAGTACGGCTGAATTCTTGATGTCACTCCCTCCGGATCTTCGTAACGAAATCTATCTCACAACAGATGAAGAAGTTCTCAGACAACTCCCACCAGAAATGGCTGAGGAGGCTTATAACGTTAGACAACTTCAATATCAACGTCAAAGTCGCCAAAGAGATATCAGAAGACAACAACAACAAGAAACAACCAGATCAAATTTCTTAGCAAAAGCAATCAAGAAGCAAATTTCTCAAGTTGACAAGAAGGAAGAAGAGTTAGAGCCAATCCTAAAAGAAGAGGATATCTCTCTTCTTTTAAGGCTGCTCTATGTTCCAAATGTCAAGAAGACTATATTGACCAGCGTTATTCAACAATTGTGCACCCTTAAACAATCGAGCAACATCATTGTGAAGCAATTACGTTCCATGCTACTTTATCATGGTTCGCCTATTGAGCAGGTACCAGAAAAAGTTAAGCCACTCTGCTTGCAAAAAATGTTTGCAAATCCGAAGCAAGATGGATTTTTCCAAAAAGAAGAAACAGGAACTGTACCTCTCCCTGTTGTTTCAAGTGTACTCACCTTGTTATTGTACTTGACAAAGAACAGTGAGGTTCTTGGAATTATCACAGAAACAGATGCAGAATATGAATACAATCATGAGAGAGAAAATTTTGCAAAGATGTTTTCATTCTTGACATCGAAGACTCTTTCCAAGTCTATCTCCACGTATGAACTCTATGTGCAATTACTGGAAAGTTGTACAGAATATACATACAAGATGGTTCAAACTATGAAGGATGAGTTGACAAAACTGAGTAACGAAGTGAAGAAGGCCGAAGAAAATTCTAAAAAGGAAGAAAAAACAGAAATCCCAACAACAGAGACTGGGGCTTCCTCCTCAGAAACAATGGAGACTAAATCAGAACAAGAAATTTCTGCCTCGAAAAAGGAAGAAAAGTCCTCCCAAACAGAGGCCAAAGAAGCCTTCACGAAACTTTCTTCCAGAATGGATTCTCTCCTTCAGTACTTGAAGAGAATCTACAATAGCAACGTAGTAAGAGATTTAATAAGTGTATTATCGAATGTAGATTTCCCTGAAAAGATTGTGAAAACAGCAACATCCATTATGAATTACATGTCTTTCACTTCTGACATGAAAAAGATAATCCTAAAGGAATTGGCCCAAAGTGCAAAACAAGAGGCAAAAGTTGTTAGGGATACTCTTGGAGATTTGCTATCTTCCAGAGAGGAAAAATCGCAACAATTCCAAGCTCCTTTTGATGCCAATGCTATTGAAAAGCTCAAGTTTTGTAGAATTCTAAGATCTTACAGTATTGTTTTGAAGAAGTACAAGAAACATGAAGAAAAATCTACTTCTGCTGAGAAGTTAACAATTTCTGAAGATCCAGACTTGCTTAGCGAGCACTCACTCGATTTTGTATGGGAATCTCTCGACAAATACTTGGCTTCTATTCCATCTGAACAAGAACCGGCCGATACCAAGGCCACTCCGCAGACTGCAACTAGGAAAAAGAAAAAGTCCTCCGCTATTTATTCTGCTTTGTTCCCATTTGTTGAGGCCTTTTTCTCGTTCCATGCGGGATTCATTGAAGAAAAAGAGAATAATGAAGCTTTGTTGTCTGAAATGGTCGAAGGATCTACTCCAACGTCGGCGAAAGGTTTTGGAGAAAAGTCAAAAGTTGAAAGTTTTTTAGAGAGACATAGAGACTTTTTGAATACTCTGGCAAGATCAAACCCTTCTCTTTTGAATACTACTCTTTCGACTTTCATGAAATATCCAAAATATGTTGACTTTGATAACAAGACCTTTTGGTTTAGATCCAAGTTGAAGGAATTGCAGAAGAAGGTTGGAGCTTACACTGCCAAATTAACTATTAGACGTGCTCATCTTATGCTTGACTCATTCGTTCAAATAAGACAACGATTACCGGATGAATGCAAAGGAAAGCTTCAAATCAAGTTCCAAGGAGAAGAGGGACTTGACGTTGGTGGTTTGACAAGAGAATGGTTCTTGCTTCTTTCAAAAGAAATTCTCAATCCAAACTATGCCTTGTTTATTCCTTGTGCTGATCAAACAACTTATCAACCAAATCCTTCTTCATATATTAATAGTGAACACTTATCTTATTTCCAATTCATTGGTAGAGTCATTGCTATGGCTATTTTGAACGAGCAATACTTGGACTGTCACTTTACCCGATCATTCTACAAACACATTATTGGAACACCAATTACTTATCATGATATTGAAAGTATTGATCCAGATTATTACAAAAATTTGAATTGGATGCTCAAGAATGACATTGAAGATGTATTATACTATACTTTTACACAAGAAGTGGATGAATTTGGCCAACGTAAACAAATTGAGCTCAAACCAAATGGCAAAAATATTCCTGTCACAAATGAAAATAAGCTAGAATATGTAAGACTTGTCACAGAATTGAAAATGACAAAATCTATTGAGCAACAATTGAACTCGTTCCTTAAAGCATTTTACGAAATTATTCCTCGTAATCTCATTCAAGTTTTCAATGAACAAGAGTTAGAACTATTGATTTCAGGTCTTCCTGACATTGATATTCAAGATTTGAAGAATAATACCGAGTATGTTGGATATACCAAGGATTCACCTCAAATCAAGTGGTTCTGGAACATTGTCGAAAATAGTTTTGATTCAAATGAGAAGGCATTGTTGATTCAATTTGTAACTGGTACCAGTAAGGTTCCTCTTGGAGGATTTTCACAATTGATGGGATCTGGTGGTCTTCAACCATTCAGCATTCACAAAGCAAACGCAACCAGTGAACGTTTACCCACTTCACACACTTGCTTCAATCAACTCGATTTGCCAGAATATGACTCTGAAGAGCTTCTACATGAAAGATTATTATTGGCTATTCGTGAAGGATCAGAAGGCTTTGGATTTGTGTAAAACTTGTATTTGAGTAAAGCAAACTGTTTTTGAGTTTTCAAAGGTGATGGCATTACTACAGATCCGTCGAACTCGAGTAGACTTTATTCTTCTTCGCCCCCTCAAGTCGGCCGAGGGCGAGCAGTTTAGACAGCAATGATATGAATTCCTCGAATAATCACCTACCTTCCATCTTGTCTTCTAACAACAAGTCCTCTGACACACAAAGAAATCATGATGATGCATCCTCTCTTTGCTTCTTCTGGCACATGCATCTTTACAACACCGCAATACAGAATCGGTGCCGCTTTGCACCGAAATAGTTTGATTTCAAATTTGATAAATACTTTGAGATACGCCATCAACACATCAGAGATAATCTATTCTCACAGGAAATTGTTTGAAAATAGGATGCTTTCGACTCTTTAGAAATGATATCGCCACAGCAAGCTCCTACCAAGAAAGGACTGTCGTACGCTTTGCTACACAATGTCTCTACAGAAAAAAGAATCACTCTTTCACTCCCTGCAACGACTTCGAGAATTTTCCTGTGAGAGCACTTTCCGTATCACTTGCAATCTCGTAACGCATGTAAATTCATTTATTCATATTTTGTTACCATCAATGTATAATTCAAATCTTGAACGAAAGGCCACTCTTTCCAAAACTCCAATCCTCCCTTGTTTGACATACCTTTCTTGATTAGAAGGTCTCAAAGATTGCCTATTTCAACTCTCACAGTGCGCACCTCGTGTGCGTCATCACTTTTTTCAAGTGAGAAAAAACTAGACCAAAAACTTTTTCCTGAGCTACCAGTACTTGTACTCCTCCTGTTTATCATCTCCTTCTGTTACTTCTTAATCTCTTGTTTTCGTTTCCATTATCCAAACCATCAAAATGGATCCTTCATCCTCAGAATCCTCAAGATATGACATTCCTTCTCATTTAGAGAGACCCTCCAATCTCTTTCGATACTTGTTTGTAGTTCATAATTGTTGCTTGTTGGTATTTATGTTGTTCTCAGCGGTGGTTGTGTATTGTGTGAAGGGATTTCTTTTCCATAAAAAGTCAAAAAGAGAACAAAGACATTTCATGAGTTCCAGCCTCCTCGAGAAGAAAAATTCTACCCTTCCTTCATCTCGATTGGAAAGGCAGCAAGAAATCATCCCCTCTGCTTGTCAACACGAAGAAGAGCAACCAGAAGAAGAAGGAATTTGTGACCACAATGTCACTTCCAGCGATCCATCGACACCAATGACAACCCTCACCGCTACCACCACAACCACCACTAACAACTCTCAAATGCATTCTCCAAGCAGTGTGATCACTATCCATAGCGTATGGGAATCCATGGATTCCATTTCACCAATCTCTCAAAATTCTACAAACACGTTCCTCAACAAGAATATTCCTTCCAATTCAGAGTCCATCTTTGATCGAGAAGTCAATTCTTCCCTCTCAACTCGCTCATCATTTCAGTTCTTACATGACAATCATTGCTCTTTATCCATTTCAAACTTTAATTCTTGCACAACCAGTAATAACGGAAACATCTCGCAAAGTACAATCAAAGCAAAGCATGGCCAAGAGGAAGAAGACATTGACTTGGACTCCACTGGAGCCTTTTCTCCTTCTTTGAATGTATCGTGTAATCATTCAAAGGATGTTTCGAATTCATGTCCTTGCAACGTTCCTCCTCTTGAACATTTGATTTACAATAGGTAGGTATTAAATGATTGAATTTGTGATCATTGACTGTTTGAATTCAAAGATTACGCGATCCCACACAATTCCTCTTTGAATCTTTTGGTTTCAAATTTCCAATCACCATTTCTCTCTATCTTTATCGAATGATCATTTCCATGTGGGCTCTCATTTCACTCTTTCTTAAACAATTTCATTTTGAAAAACAATTACCTCTCATGTTTGTGTCATTTCTCACCAACTTTACAGCTATTTTATTTACTCTCTATTTTACAGGCCATGTTGTATTGGGGTTTTTTTATTTAGTCTTTTTTAGTAAATTATACAGGAATTCAAAAAAGATTGGGATTCCAACCTTGAGAAAGACTAATTTAGAATATTCCAATTTGAGAAAGTTCATGTTGATGGCCTCAAATGGAATGTGGTTGATGGGTGAGATTGCCATTACCTCTTCATTGATTGTATCTGTGGGTTACTGGATTATGTTTTCGATAGAATCAAGCTCAGAAGTGAGTTACTTGTAAGTATTGATGGAATTTCATAGCGATTAGAGTAATTTGACATTTGGCATTAGTACAGTTGCATTTCATGGAATGACAGGTCTCTTCTGCCTTATTGACTTTTTCATCTCCAATATGGTATTCAGGCTTTGGCACATTTTCATTGTCGTTCTCTTCCCCACCATTTACTTTATTTGGTTACAAATCTTGGCGGAATTACATTTAATATCTCAGTGGCCCTACAGTGTTGTGAATTATTATCTCCAGCCATGGACATCTTCATTGCTCTTTCTCTGTGGTCTTCTCTTCGCTTATGGTGGTGTTTTCACGTGCTTTTGTTTTCTCTCTAAACTTCGAACACGATTCTTGTTGAAAATTATTTTGAAACATCAAGAACAACTAAAACAGTACCCTCGTGATGACTCTCCAATAAATAATGGTTGAAGAATAAAAGGAAACTCAATGGCAACCAATAGTGAAGTATTGGATCATGTGCACGGAATGTATGAGAAGTGATTTGAGAAAATCTTTTCTAAATATGGACCTTAAGGCGATTCAAGAAAACCCCTAAATGGAGGTTTGAAACAAGAGAGTGGTTGGAGAATTTCAAACGAGCAACAAAACACACACAAATGACGGCGATCGTTCTTCCCACTAGCTTTGAAGTTTCTAACGCTGGTAATCAGTATTCTTTTATCTTTAAACTCAGAATTACTGGTCATTGTCCAGTCGTCCGGTTTTGTAAAATATTAGATAAGGACAGAGAAGTTAAATTGGGATTTGATAAATACAAATTTCAACCAGGCCAGTGATATTATGTTGGTATTTGTTTTATAAGTTATCAAATAATTGTCCACATTAAAGGGAAAGAGATTCATAAAGAAATAACTCAAAATCCTCCAAAAAACAATTTGTATTTTGACTCTCATCAATCAACGTTTAAAGTGATTCCTGACAGCACTGTGCAGATTGAAATGTTGCGTTATGAAAAGAAAAGCATCACAGCCGACGACACCATCTTCCATCAACCCACTTATTCACCTCTTCAAAAACAGCTGAACCAACTCTTTCTTTCGAACAAAGAAGTGAATGCCAAATTAACATTCTCCTCTCAAAGTGAATCCGAAAGGAGAGAAATTCCAATCCATACGAACATCGTAAATCTTAAAACTGATTGGTTTGCAGCTGCATTAGATCGTTGGAGTGAGGATGGAAAAGAGTGTTCCATGTATGATGAACCCTATGATTTGATGCTTCGATGTATTCGTTTTATTTACATTGGCACTATTTATTTGGAGAATGAAGTTCATCTTCCCATGAGTGATTTAGTGGCAATTTGTTCACTCGCAGACAAGTATTTCATTGAGGGTCTGTACGAGCATGTCGAGCAACATGTGATGGAAGTTATGAATGTTGACAATGTTATTGAAGCGTGTAAATATTTGGTGATGCATTCAATGGAAGAAGACAACAAGAGGGGGAAACTGTACAAGTTCTGTCAGGAGTTTTTACAACATAATCATACCTTAATTAATGTTAATTCACTTCCTAATGACGAAGGGACTGCCTGTCTCTTGAAATTTATGTGGAATAATAGTCGTCGTTAAAAAGAATCCACACAGTGTGGGAAAGAAGGTCCAAAGGAATGTTACGTTCACTCTTGTATTCATTCTTTCATCATGAATGAAGTATACTAGATTTCTCTGCTTTTAAATAAACATTTGAAATTCTTTTTAATCTTCGAGTCTTGGCGCCATTCAAAAATTTTTGAATAAAAAATAACGAAAATGCCTTCGCAACAACGACGCAACGCAAAGCCTTCATCGAGCAAGGCAAAACGACGTGCGGTGGTGGAAGAGTCGGAATCTTCATCGGATGACTTCTCTGATGGTGATGGAACAGAAGTGAGAAATGTGGTTGGAGAAGAAGATGAAGAAATTTTGGAATTGGATGAAGAGGAAAATTCTCCTGAAAAGCAAAAGAGGTCGTCCACTGGATCCGTAACATTTGAAACACCTGCTACGGCTAAACATAAATCTTCATCATCACGTAGAAAGTCTTCTCTTTTTGTTCCATCACAGATAGATGATTTGGGAATTAACGATGATGAAAATGAAAAAAGACACAATCAAAAGAGACGTGATAAAAGAAAGAGTGTTGGCATTGGATTTTTAACAACAGAAACACATCGTAGAAGTGGAGCTCACGCCAGCAGCACTGCAGGTTTAGTTTCAACATCACGGACATTAACGTCATCCGAATTGGAAGCTCTCTTTCAAAATTGTATCAAATTATCATCTGAAAATAAGATCAATGTCAAGAACACGTGGAATTTAAATTTAATTGATTATATTGGTGAAGTTTTAGAAACAACCCTTACAGGTGGAAGTTTTCAAGCTGCCAGTTGCACTCTTGATGCTGGTGTTAAAATTTATTCGACTCGTGTTGACTCCGTTCATACAGAGGCTTACAAAGTTTTAACGAGTTTTGCCAGAGCTGATCCTCAAAAGAGCTCTTCCTCAGAAAATAACAACGATGGAGAAGAAGGAGCAAACAAAGATGGAGAAGAGGCTGAAAAATCTAAAAAGAAACGAGTTCGACATGGTGTGAACACTCTCGAAACGAATATTAATAACATCACTGTGAAAAAGCTTGAACTTGCCTATGTGATTGAACCTTTGTACCATACTTCACTCGGATCGTCAAACAATTTCGACGTGGGAAGTGCCAATTCTTTGCTTTTAAACAATTTAGGACTTGGATATGGATGTGAAGTTATAATAGACTCAAAAAATTGGGACTATGCATACAAGAAAATTGCATCTGAGAGCAATAATCGTCCAAATCAAACAAAACAAACAGCAGAGCAACATCGGCAAGGAGCTGTAACCACCACCAATGAAGAGGAAGAAAGAATTCATCCAATAGCTTTAGATAAGAGTGCAATGGGGCGTTTGTTGACGACATCATTTATAGACGAGAAAATGCTTGAAGAAATGGAAGAACGAGCCAAACTAACTCAACAACAATCGAAAGAGCACAACCTTCAACCACAAGGAGATGATATACCATTGCAGCAACCTATCTCAACCGAAGAAATTCAAACTCAACACAATGTGTTAACATCAGATGTACCCACCATTAATAATAATGGATTTGCTTCAGAACAGACACCGTCACTTTCGGAGAATTTCACCTTTGATCTTGGTGGAGGTTTCGGTGGTGGAATTGATGATTATGGCCCACCGGATACAGCAATGTCTGATGGTCTCACACCTCAATCGTATGGTGGCATGCCTCTCGACACCACCACACAAATACCTCAAAGACTTTCAATTGGTGGTGATGGGGTCAATGCCTTAATTACTGCTGCTACTGAGGTTGGAGGTTTGGCTCCCGATCACTTTGCAAATGCCAATCATGATGACGATGATGACGACGATGGCTTGGGTATATTTGATACAGATTTTGCCAATGCAGAACCGCAAGATGTCGTACCTCAAGAAATTGGAGATGATGACACTGTCATAGTAGAACAGCAGAATAAGCTTCAAGCAAGTGAGCCTTCGCAACCAACATCGATCACTGAAATGATTCAAAAGAATCCTGAAACGATCACTGTTGACAATGACTATGAATACTTTGATGTTACCAAGATTAAACATTGGGCTGGAATTGAGCATTGGAAGCCATCAGCAAAATCAAAAACTCAAGGCACAAATGCTAAGAAATCGAAAAAACGAACACAAAAGTCAAAACCCCATGTTTTTGATTTTTTAAATGATCCTTATACCATTGACTATGCTGTACAATTTAAGTATTCCAAAAAACCTGAAGACAATCAAATTAAGAATGCAACATCCAAGTTGACCTTACTTCCTAAAGATGTTCATTATGATTTGAGCATGTTGCTGAGACCGTTCAATCTTCCAGCAGCATTTACTGACAAACATTTACAAGCTATTGTTGAACAGGGCGCTCGAAGCAAAACAAGCTCCTCCAGCGCGAACAGCAATACGGAGCCTAAATTGACGGGTGCACCTGAAAGACCCACTCAAAACGGAATGTTTATTACGACTTCCAGCAAACTTTATGATGACAGTGATGAAGATGAAGAAATGGGTCTCAATGCCCCACAAGGTTTTGGTATGGACAATATGGACATTGGGGGTTTTGATAATTTTGGAGATACTGGATTTGGAACAAATAACACAACAGAAGCTTCTCAGCAGCAACCATCTGCAGATGCTACTGCCATGACAACAATTACAGACTTGGGTAACAACCAAACTAACATAACAATGGCCACCTCATCTATGGAGCCTCCTTCGTCGATTGAACCTCAACAAGACACTGTACTGAATGATTCACACAACTCCTCAATGACAATGGAAGATATTCAACTTAAACCTCAAGAATTGAACAATCCAAATGAAGTGACAATGGTTGCTGGAGCTCAATTAATTGAAGCTCCAAAATTAGTGGAAAAGCTCAATATCAAGTATGCCACCAGGGCCAAGCAAGTCGATGTGAGGGCTTTGAAAGATCATCTCTGGACAGAAATCGAAACAGCACCCAAAACAGATATTAACTTCTCGGATGTTGTCTCATCTCTAAACACGTCCAAGCCAAAGGCAAACGAGAAAAAACCAGACTTTTCAGAAGTGTCTGTCCCATTTTGCTTCATTTGCATGCTCCATCTTTGTAATGAACAAAATCTTGAGCTAGAAGGAACTCCTGACTTTTCTGACTTTAAGGTGGTAAAGCCAGCGAATGGGCAAAGAAGACAGTCTTTGGAGGAGATGACGAATGACGATTAATGTTCGAAAACAAGAAATTTCTATCCCGAGATGTTGATTAGTTGTTCTTTCAAATCAAATTTTTGTACTGAGCGGTATGACCTTTATTGAATCTTCTTCTGGGTACTACAATCTTTGTTTGGTCTTGCATGGATCCTATCCAACTTTTTGCTTGTCATTAACACAAACCAAACTGAACAAGGCAGACTAAAAAAGAGCAATCTTGACTTGTTAAGATCTACTTGTCACATGCCAAACAATATCAAAAAAAAATCCAAACACCTCCCAACCGTCATGTAGGTTTCAAATTAAACATTTACGCTCTTCCATAACATCGACCCTTCGACAATGTTTATACCTCATTAAATTTGAAACAAACGAACCTGTATATTCAACGTTTGCAACAAAATTTTGTATGATGTTTATCATCGGATCTTTGTTTCAAACATCATTACCCAAATTATATTCCCAAAAACGACAATGATGAATACTAATCTCAATACTAACATTTCCATGTTGTGTTTTATATATTACCGTTCTATATAAATGTCAACCCTAACAACTGTCATCATCCGACACTAACTTTAATGATATCCTTCCTTCGAAATTTTGTTTGTATTTACTGTGTTTCTCGTCTGCCAACCGTACTCACCTAGTGTGCATACAACCTGAATCATCACATTCCATCACTTGTCCTATCATTTTCATCACCTTCCCACTACTGTACTTATCTCCACATTACTCCGATAAATTCAACCACTAAAAAGAATGGTCGGATTGAAAGCCCTCTTCAAAAAGAAAGAACCTACCGATCCCAAAGAGAGAAGAAAATCTGTTGCAGTGCTGACTTCTCCAAGAGCTGGACCTCCCAATCTCACACAAACAGAAGGAGGAGTCTCAGAAACGACCACCAGCAGTGAGAATTCAAAAGTGAAAACTCCAAGACGTGTCACAACAGCTGTTGTTGAAAATCACCAACAATTTCAAACAACTCCTCCACATATTCATCTAACTCCTGGAAATCCTGTCAATGTTGAAAGGTCACCCATTGCAAGTGAAAAGAAACCTCCAAGAAGAAGACATCAAAAACGTCGAAAGAGTATTTTCGATTTTTTCAAACAAAAAAAGGATTTGGATGAAAGTGATGAAGAAGATGATGATGATGATGACTTTGATAGTTCTTCTAATGTAAAATCGTCACATCCTCAAGTTCAAGCATTATCTTTGGGTGCATTGAAAGCTGCAACTACTGAGGACAGTTCGAATTCCGAGCTTGATAAACAATCCCAATCTCACCATGAAGAGAGTCATCACCATGAACGTACAATTTCTGAAGAAAGAATTGCATTGAGAAGAAGAAGTGGTAGAAAATCCTATACATTGGCTATGGATGTTCAAAATATGGCCATGAATGGAGATGAAGATGCAAAATTATTACTTAAATTTTATAAGGGTAGGTTCGTGAGTAATTTTGAACGATCGATTGCATTGTTTTGACCTCATGTTGTGTTTTATTGAATACACACGGAAATGACAATGGAATCATGAATATTATTTAATGACAAATGACTTTCACAGATGCTTATACACGAGAGTCACAGATTCAGAAAAACAAAAATGTTGGTAAAATTGTCGAAGATTTACTGAACTTTGAAAAGAAGAAGGGTATTGGAACTCCAAGTGCAGATAAAGAACAGAACGGTGCACTTTTGGCTGAAGCTTCAAACCATGCAGGAGACGAATTAAACACCTCCAAAGAACAACATCATGCAGCAGGTCGTGATGATACATCCACCGATGAAGATTCCATGACCATTCAAACCAATGAAAATTCCTCCACCGCTTTAAATTCGTCACAGCTCAATTCGGATGACCAGTCCATCACTCCAACATCCTGTTCTATGAATACCTCCATAAGTGCCTGTTCTCCAACCATGTCGTCCTCAAGCAACTCGAGAAAAGACTCTGTCTCTCCTTCCTCTCATCTTCCATCTGGCTTAACAGATTCTCAAATGAATTTATATCAAAGATTGAAAGCAATTTCTGAGAGAGAAGAACGTGAAAGAGAGGAGCAACATCAGAGAGAAATTGAAGAGAGATTGAAAAAACAACGAGAATTGGAAGCCAAAATGAAATCCATGTTAGAAAGTGATGACTCAGATTTGAGTGACGATGATGACACAAAAGAAACTTCATCAGTTACCACTGTCAATCATCATTCTACAGAAAGTAATGTCACAACTCCTTCAATGGTTGTCACTGCCGCTACTACCTCCACAGAAGAATCAAATTCTGTCACAACTTCCAACACTGAAACGTTGAATCTTTCTGAATCTGCACTATTGTTACAACAACGTAGAAAACAAGAAGAACAAGCTCTTGAAAAATTGAGACAAGAGCAAGAACAAGCTCGTCTCGAGCAAGAGCGCATCGAAAAAGAAAAAGCTCTTCAACTCGAACAAGAACGAATTCAAAGAGATTTAGAATTAAAACAACTCGAAGAAACTAAGAGAAGAGAAGCAGAAGAACTGCATCGAAAGAAACTTTTAGAGGAGGAAGAAGAACGAAAATTGAAACAACAAATTGAAGAGGAAAGAGCATCTCTCTCTTCACAACTCACACAACTTTTATCAGAATTTAATGAATCTGGAAAATTACAAGAGTGGATTCGACATGTGGAATCAAAAATGCATCTAGTGACTTTGTTAAAATCCGAGTTGAAACAAGCAAAAGATTTACAACACAATCAAACATCGAAGCGAACGGAATATAACTCTAGTTTGAATTTCCTTCTGGATAAACAAAAAGATCCAGAAAAGTTGTTACAACCTTATGAAATTGAACTCATGAAAGAACGAGTCAAGAATATTTATCCTTTGTATTTACCAAAATCAGAAATTGCAAAAATGGAAGAACAAATTGCCCAAATTGAGAATACAGAAAAGAAAAAACGAGAAGAACATCAACTCAAACTCGAACAAGAAGCTGCTGAAAAACTGAAAAAGGAGAAGGAACGCCAACAATTAATCATTCTTCAACGATTAATTAAGGATGGTAATGTGAAAGTCATTTCCGATGAGCTCAAACGAAATAATCCACTCCTTCGTTCCATTAATTTGCAAAATAAGAACATTTCAAACGATGATGTCTATGAATTGGCAGATGCTCTCGTGGAGAATACTTGTCTCACAGAGTTGGATCTCTCTTTCAATACACGAGTGGACGATGAATGTATGGATGCTTTGGTGAGAATTGTCAAGAATAATCATACTTTGAGGAAGTTGTATCTGGAAGATACATTCATTCAGAACAATCAGCCTTTGATTGATGCTGTGGCTGGTAATTTCAAATTGGTCGATATGGTGCTCTCGGAATTTGCCACCGATGATCAATTGGATCAGTTGGACTTGTACTTGGATAGAAACGAAGCATTGTAAATGAGGAAGTTTTTTGTTGTCCAACAACACAAGCTCGTATCCCAGGTCAGGAACCCCAAACGAATGTTTCTAGTCACTCGAATAAAACCCAATCTTTCATGAACCACTTTCGATATGGCCATCAACAAAAGTCCAATAATCGTGCCATCATCACAATTACAAAAGATGTTTTTATTGAGTAGGTTGAAATAAGAAGCAAAATGTAGAACGGGAAGGGAAAGGAATATACAATGGAATCATCGTATTCTCAAAATTATATGAGTATTGTTGTTGTTGTTGCCACTCTGTGGGAGTAATAGGTTGTGGTGGTGAATGAGAGAGCAAGATGGAGAGCTTGGAGAGAAGAGGCAAACAAACGGAACAGAATTCTTATCATCATCGCTACTACTACCAGCTTCAACTCCAAGCCATCATCACAATAATGATGATGAAATTAGGATTATTGATGACCGATAATAATATTGTTGATAGGAATATGGATGAGCTTGACAAAGAATCCAATGAATCCCATAATCAAAAATCCAACAGCTGTAGCAAACGCAATCTTGGAGAATTCTTTGGAATCAGGCTTCTTGCACCGAGTCACAAATCGCTTCGATGCACGATAGAATTCGGTGGATTGTTGAGCAACGTCGTCGATGAGATCCATTTTTTTTTTGTGCTTACAAAATTAAAATCTTTGGCATTTTCATCATGACGTGTTGTTGGTGTGCTTGACGTGGAAAAAAAAAGTTCAATTATTGAAACATTTAGCATGATGATCATCGAAGTCATTTATTTGCAAATACTTCAATAGTTCGTGAGAACTGAGGTACGTATAGTTAAGTTTCAGCTTGGAAGAGATGATAGTTTATAAACAGAAAGATTGACATATTTGCATCACTACTGTATCTCAGACCAAATTATTAGATCTTGTATTGTACATTGGTTGGATAAGGTGGTTGCTGTGTTAAGGTTGATGTTGAGGTGGCATTTAGAGTGGTGAAGGACGATGATGGTGGAGTGGCAAGGTTTGGGTTGTAATTTTCTGAGAGGGAACCTCTTGGTAATTCCTCATTCGTCATGGGAGGAACGTATTCAGGAACGACAAGTCTTGGATTTGGAACAATGTTTTTCATCTTCATGAAACTTGTCACTTGTTGAGGAATTTCAGCCAAAACCTCTTTCGCAAGATAGGTATAGGGTTGATTTCTGAATTGGTTAAATGGAACAAATTGTACAATGTCTCTACTTGCATATCTTCCAGTACGAGTAGATCTGAGTCTTCCATCATCTCCATCGAGAGTGACCATGGATTCGAAATTGGCATTGCCCACACCAACAATAATGATAGAAAGTGGTAAATCGCTTGCTTTAACAATTTCATCAATAGTCGCGTCCATGTCGTTGATGGCTCCGTCTGTGATAATCAACAAGATATAATATTCTTGATTTTGTTGTGAAATTGGCTGTGAGGCGTAACGGCATGCTGTTTGAATCACATTAGCAAATAACGTTGGTCCACTTAGAGAAACATTATTTAGAGCTTGTCTGTATGCTTGCAAAATTCCAGGAACGCCCAAACACTCTGGTTGTTGAGGATTTCCATTCAATGCAAAACAATGTGACGTTGTACCATTAATATATCCACCATACCCAAAACAAGGGAACCTCTTGTCATAGTCATAATCGCTGAGAATTTGTCCCACCGCATAAATGGCAGACTCATATTGATTCATTTGTCCTGGCTTGTTGTAGTGGAGGGAGTTTGGATCTGTGACATTACCATTTGAGGCAGTAACTATATTATCATGAATAGTGCGGAAGATGACGCGTTGCATTATTAAGAGTTAATATATTTCCTTAATATATGCGAGTATTTTGGTACTTACAATCAATGGCTACCAATAAATTCATTTTGAGACCTCCTGCAATGAATTCCAAGAAGGAATAATTTCTTACGAGTTTTGCAGATTTCACAACTAAATCTCCGGTGTGTTCTTTGCCTTTTTTCTTGTTCTTGTTTACCAATTTTAGAGAAAGAGTGCCTTTCATGATGGAGTCTAGATTTGTTTCACAGTCTCCAATGAAATCTGGTTGAGAGAATTTATCATAATCATAGACGCTAATTTTCAGAGGTCTCATAACGTCACCATTGCACAACTTTGCTAATGGGATTCTGAAAGGTTTCCACAGTGGGTTGAGTGTGTTCATGATGGTTTCCGATTGAAAAACATTAAGATATTGACCACTGTGCAGCTTTTCAATGATGAAATATGGATCCGACTGTTAGTGTGGTGATAATGAACGAAGAACAACATTATGATGTGTCATCTAAATGTCACCACAAGTCCATGAGTCCAAGATCACTTACCTTTCCGAAAAGGTCCATCTGTTGGAGAAACATGAAAAAGTTTTCAATGAATTATTGTGATGACACATGTGTGAATATTAAACACTCATTCTAAAATGCACATACCTTTGCCAAAGAAACTCCAGCCAATTGAATTTCGACATCATCAGTCACATTTGAATTAATTTCCTCTGCACTGACAATAATTGTTCCTCGGGATGTCTTGGAATTGCCAACCAATAAATGTTTGATTAATTTTTGACCTCTGCTTCCACAAATTTCACCCAATGTGGTGGTCATTTCTCCAATAAAATCATCATCATTGAGTGTCGTCGTAGAATTATCAATGTCATAGCAAGCAAATTTCAAAGGTTGAGTTTCTTCAAAGAAATAATCCAAAACAAAAGATTTCACAAAGTTTGGATTTAAATTATCCTTCACCGTTTCGGTCTCTCCCAATAATCTCCAAGTCTGTGTAGCAATGACGTGTACGATTGAAATTGGTGTTTAAAGTGTTTTTCAATTCAAACAAAAAGATAGGTCGTGATCATCACGCAACAATTTCAGCAGGATGGCGAGAAATATTTCATGTGGTTATAATGCAACTGTTCAATCACAACTAATATACTTACAAACTGTGGATTATTTTGAGGAAATCCAATATATACCAATACTCTCGGATCAGACTTGCTCAAAACATCCATCTAGCATTCATAGCGGAAAGTTCAAATAGTGTTGATGATTATCATCCCATCGGAATATTCCCTTACTTACATTCCTCAAATTACGACACGATATGTGCAACTCTACTTTGGATGAGCATTGCGGAGGAGGTGGACCGTTCATCATCATCATCATCGTGGATGGTTGCGCGAGTTGTGAGTTCATAGGGTAAGGCGTGGTTTGCATTTTTTTGTTTTCGAGGTTACGTTGGGATTAGAAGACTTCGAAATTGTTCGAATTAATTTCATCAACACGAAGGGCGATCTCTTCTTCCTAGTTGGAAATATTTTGGAGAATGTTTTAAAGAAAACCCTCGTCGTGATGAAGGGTTCAACATATGAGTTGAAAATACATTGGTAATGAATTCTTTTATTAAAAGCAAAAGATCATTAATATGGCCCGTATTTGCTAAAGTTCATTGAATTCATGATGATGAAAGTCTTCTTTTGAATTGGGATGAACAACATTGAACAAGTTTCAAACCCTTAGAGTCTTCGATTCTTTGCAGCCTCCAATTCTCTGTAGAAAACAAAAGTCTTGTCTTCACCTCTGAAAGGACTCAAATACACGTACAACTTTCCGAGAGGATCATAAGTCTCACTCATGTCCTTTCCATTTCTAATTTCCAAAAAGGGATGAGGATTGTAGAATCTTCTCAATCCATTAATTCCTGCATTGGCATATAAAAAGTAAAATCCATAATAAAAGACAAAGAACATGCTGGCGGCCAACACAGCAGAAAGGATTAGAATTCCTCCAAAGTTTAAATACCAGAAGAATTGTCCTGTTCTGTGTTCCCATGGTTTCATATTCAATTTAAATCTCAAATTCAAAGGACTATGCAGAGTTTTGTAGGTTCCTGCAACATCATCAAAGAAACCGATATGAAGAGGAGTTTTCAATTGAAGATTTCGATGTTGTTGTTGTGGTTGAGAAAGACCAATTACCATGATGGACTTGGAGTTGAGGCGTTGTAAAAGTGTGTGATTATTGTTCTTCTTCAAAGATTGCCAGCCATTGGTGGACAATCGAGGACTAAGTTTGGACAACATGTTGTGAGAGTCAATAGTTGTTTTGTTTGATCAGGATTTATAAACGTTTGAAAATGAATCAATTTTTCAACAATTCTCAAATATGGAAATTGTATGAAATTGTTCATCACAATCTTTAAGGTCGTTTTTCAACCTTAAATCGAACAATGTTCACATTATAGACTATTTTGTTGCGTGTGATTGCATGGTATTACAAAATTGAGTGATTGTTGCTGCTGGCGTGATGGGAAATCTTTTTGTTGAAACAATGTGACAACATGACGTTTCAACAATTTTTTTTTGGTTTCGTTGGAGTGACCGTTTCAAAAAGTAGAATAAAAGTTTCATAAAATCCTCTCTCCTTTCAACACACACAAGGCTCAATTCTTCGACTGTAATGAATCATCCATTCCGTCAGAACTCTCAAGCAATGAACTTGCACAGAGATGACACAAGTATCAGTAATGAAATGAATGATTGAACAACCTCATGTCGTTAACGAGAGAAACCTTGGCTTGTCAACAAGGTTCTTCCACCACCACAGTGAACATTAAGGCTAAATATAAGACAGGATATCCATTCCTCACTGACACTCGATCAGTTACCTCAAGCCCTTGAGTACAAGCATCCCCAAGAACAAAAAACCACAAACATCCACTCAACAACAGCAACCACAAACAAACGTTCCTCCTCCTCAACAAGCGATTCAAGTGCAGCCTCAGCACAACCATCGACAATTATCCAACCACAACAACCTTCTCAAAACGTAGAACACTCATGGAGTTTTGATGCTGTGAACACTTCTGTGGATGCTACATTTTGAATGTTTTGCATTTTCAATAATTATTAATTTTAAAATTGAAACTATTGAAACAATTGATTGACCTTGCACTGAATATCACAATTCATTTTCATTCATACCAAATTAATTGAAGCGTCTGACACTTTTATTCCAAAGAAAATTGGCAACATCAAGGGATATTTCCGATTGGCATCAGGAAAGTCACAATTTGGCCATTTGTGTTGGTTTGAATTGAATGTTATGCCTGAGGGTTCTCAACAGCAGCAAACACAAATTCAACCAGAATTCCCAACAATATCTGAAAATACCTCCAAGCAAACAGTACACCATGAGAAGTTCTCAAAGTTATCAAACAGAAGAAGGTCAACAATAAACTCTCATTATAACCCCATAGAACCAACATCATCAGTACTATTTCAGGTCATTCATGTTTAAACAAAGAGATAATTCATCTCTCGAACGATGTTGTTCCTTAAATGGTCTTCCTTAAAAGACGACTCTGCACATGAAGCATACAACATCAAGAGGAATCATCTTTTCAATTATCATCATCATCATCATGGATAGTTGTGTTTTATTGAGGTTGACTCGGTTTCACTCTGTGGTTCATCGATGAATACAGAATGCATGTTTTTTAAAAAGGTTGTTAAGGTTCTTATTTACAATTTTTCAATGTTGTTAGGAGCTTTCTTTTACACGTTGTTGAGTTTTAGTATTGTACATTCAAACTTGATGATATCATCATATGGATCATGCGTCATGACATTCACCATCTATGTAGTGCTACTCTTCGCTGTCATCATCATCTCAATTAACAAAAATAGAAATATCATGTCACTTAAAACATGTTACTATTCTTTCGAGAGATGATATTAAACGATTTTCTTCGTTGTGTGCGTTTTTCTTTTGTTCTTCTTGTTTACGTTGTAATTCTTGTTGTTGGATCATTTGCTGTTGTTGCTGCAAAACAGGACAAGTTCCATAGTAGCAACTCATCCGAGTGACGACTCGTGTGGCTGCTGTTGGAGTGGGTGCTGTGGTTTTACTTCTTCTTCTTCGGTTGTTGCTATTGCTGTTGTTGGACGAAAATTTAAAACTTTTTCGCTTGCTGCCAATATTGTTGCTTGTATTTCGTTCGAGACCTACTCCTTGCAGAAGTGAAGGATCCAAGTCATCATCGATCGAGTTTGTGGGCTGGTGAGTTTTTGTGTTGTGTTTGTGATCGAAAGGAGTAAAGACTTGTCCTTTTCGAAAGTCTCGAATGCCATCAGCAGAGTGTGCCGACGTGAGTAGAGCTGAGGCTTGATTTTGACCCATAGGTGCAGGTTTGTTGAGAGGAAGGAATACGTGATGTTGTAAACCGAGATGTCAAATGCAAACTTTTTTTTTGAATATTATTTTGCTTTCGAGCAAATATGGTCTTGCGTTGAAAGAGGACAAGAATATTGACGCAAATTTGTCGATTACTCATTAAAATTGAATGTTTTTTGCACATTAGGAAACTCATCTTGGGATGAAAAATTGTTCCAGATGCATGACTCAAGGATGACAAAGAGCACTCTCCTTTGACAAGATAACAACATGTCAGGTTTCAATTTACTTTGAATGTAGAGTTTTTACAATTAAATGTTTTGAAATATTACAATTACTTGGAATCCATAAGATCAAGTTTTCCAAGTACCCATTGAACTCCTTCGTCGAGTCCAGCTCCGGTCTTAGCACTGCATGCTTGAATGTGCCAGTCTCTGCCCTTGATAGCATGCAAATTCAACACTTTAGCAATTTCTCCAGCGGAGGCAGCAATTAGAGGAATATCTTGCTTGTTGGCGAAAACAAGACATGGAATTCCAGCTAGATTTTCATCTTTTAACAAACAATCAAGTTCGTATCCAGCCTCTTCGAAACGATTTCTATCGGTTGAATCCACGACGTAAATGATGGCATCGGCATTCTTGTAATAATTTGGCCAGTATGGTCTGATGGCCTTTTGACCTCCGATATCCCAAACATTGAGTTTCACGTTTCCAGTTTGCACTGATTTAATATTGAACCCTTGGGTAGGCATGACAGTAGAAATTTCATCCTTCTCTCCAGCCAAACACTTCAAGGAGCAAGTCTTTCCGCTGTTGTCCAGACCTAAAATCAAGATACGAGCCTCCTTGTCAGATTTTCTAAGTCCTCTAATGAAATCAAGCAAACCCATTTTGTATACAAAATTGTTGTATGAATTGTTGTGGTGATGGTTGTATGTGTGATGAAACAAAAGTGTAGGCCGACCTCAAATGGTTGTTGTTGTAGTCGTGTTTGTATTTTTTTTCGTAGTGGTGATCGAAACGGTTGGCGCGTTTTGAATGTGTGGTTGAGAGGGTTGGATGGTCATTCCAAAACAGGACGACGGAAAGACACATGAGTTCTCGTTGAAAAAGGTTGAAACCACGTTGGTTGAATGGTGTGAAATGATCTTATTGAGAGATCACTGGTATTCCTTGCTTGGGTCCCAGTCAGGTCTATTCAACCACCTATTTGCGTGAGCTCGTTCTTTTTTCAAATGGAAGAGACAATTTCAATTGCGAAAATGAATGAACCGAGCCATCATGTCTAAACGATATTACGAACGTTGATCAATCTCTTTGAAAAGACACAATGTAGAGAAAATATTAAAAAATGATCATCGACCCCGAGAAGAAGCCTTCTTCTTCCAATTATTTTCCGGTGCTTGTGTTGATTCATATCGCGAATTATATTCCTTTATCTCAGCTCGTTAAGTTTCAGCTCGTATGCTCGGAATGGTATTACGCAATTGAAGAGCTACAGAGTGGAGAATTTTGGAATTATAAATTCCTGTCTTATTATTGGGAAAAGTTGAAATTTTATGAGAAATTTAGTGATGAAGATGATTCATGGGGAGACAAAACAATTAAAAAGAGATTGAAATATGTAGAGAAAAATCAACAAATGACACTCAAAAAATTGGAAAAACATAAGAATTTTTCGCGTCAACAGTTAAAAAACACAGTCATCTCGGAATGGTATCAATATTTCAATACGTTTTTTAAGGAGGAAGGAAAGGGTTTGGGAAGTACTGAATTTTATAACGTAATGTGTAATTTACCAGAAAAATCGAGGTGGGGTGAGAGCAAAATTATTGTGCGAGCAAAACAGTTTTGGTATCTCGCACAACATTTTCCACAAGTGATTGAAAAATTCATGTCAAAGAAATCATATAGGGTCATGTTGCCTTTGATGCAAAGTAACAGTTGTACCAACCAACAACTGGAAATTATTTGTGAAAAGTTCAAACCATGTTTTGATTATATAACAGCAAGCTTTTATTTTGATAAGATTTCTCTTAGACTACCCAACCCATTATCTACCGGTTTTATGAAATATATTTTAAAGTCTTACCAAACATTTCGTGGACTTGGAATGAAAGAATTATTTGTGGGAAATTGTCACAAACTGATTCCGTTGTCTCAGAGAAAAGCTGAACTCGAGCTATTTATTGAGCATGTTACCCTCCACAGAAATGGAAGGTCTATACAGGATATCATATATGAAAAAGATTTTGTCGAAATAATACATGCTGCCTTGAATTATCAGGCTTCCATTCATGATATTTCGATTTTAAGCGAGAAACTAGGAAGAGAAGTACCAACGTCCATCTTGAACAACACTCCTCCCTCTGAAGACTTTTTTTGCTGTTGTTTCAATTTAGAATTACATAAGGATAACGAACAACTTTCACAAAAGCTTCATGAAAAATTTTCGACAGCAAATGAAATAGATCTTCTTGAACAAATCGTTCTTGAAAATGACATTAATTTATTTAAATGTTACGATAATCACAACATCATGGTAAAGATTCTATCTTTTCATAGGATACCACAAGTCGAGCGACTTATAATATTGTTAAAGAAACAGGCTGAAAAGAATAACAACAAATATGGCTATTTCGAGGGAGACTTAATTAATTGGAAAATGTTTGATCCTTGTGGAATCTGGATGCATAATTTGTGCTTTAAAAGTGGACTTACATACAACGTGAAATATACTATCCACTCATCGACATGGCTATTCATTAAGCAAAGCAATGCAATCCTACATCATGCAACATTGATCGTTGTTGCTAAAAACATTGCTCTTCCTGAAATTATTGAATACATGAAACAAAGAACTCGCGTTTTTCTTGACGAACTTGATATGGAAGGTGTGCCCTTGTCCCAATTTATGTTAGAACATTTTAACAAGGATATTGCTCAAATGGAACTTGCCGAAATTAGGGAGCATCTTTTTAGCTTCAGAGTTCCGCCCTTGATGACAACGATTTAAATAGGAGCATGGTTTATTTCACTTTGCTTCACATTAAATCAATGTAAGTATTACCTTCACTCCTTCTTCCTTTTAAATTCTCTTTCCTTGACGTTCAATACTTTCCTGTTTGTGAATTTTACAATTCTTTGTAAAGGAGTTTATTTCTGTTTCATCCTTAATGAAATAATTTGCCGACTTTTCAGTCTCTTCTCTTTTTCATTCCTTTTTCGAAACTTGAGAAAAGATGACAAATATGATTTTATGGCTGACATTTTCACTCTTTAGTCATCTTCCATAAACTTTCACATTCCTCTTCTTGTCTCGAAATGTGATCATCTCTCTCAATTTTCATTGTCCAATTTCCTTCTTTGTTCTTTTCATGAATTTCTTATTTCATTCACTTTTTCTAAACGTTCGAACCATTTCAAGACGAATCTTCGTGCAACCACAACAATTTCAAATCAATAAAAAAAAATGGAAAAACAACAACAATTACCCTCTCCATTCGGATCAACCACCAACACCTCCACGACGACTGCCTCCTCTCAGCAGCAGCCTCATGCAGTCACTGCTGCCATCAGTCGGAGGCAATCAATGAGAAGACAGACCATTCATCTCAGCAGTGGAAGTGCTTCGGGATTGTTTGCAGCGTTGAAAGAGAGTGCCAATTCCATCACGCCATCGTATTCGCAATTACAACGAAATGTCATTAAAGAATGGTTGGAATCGGAGACGTTGAGTGATAAAAAGAAGGATTTGTGGGAATTATTGAAGGATGGTGTGGTTTTGGTGAGGTAGGTTTCAATGTGTCCATGGATGATGGATCTATATTCTTTTCATCATCATTGGATTTGGTTCTCATTTGATGATGATGGATTTGAACTGTCTTTTTGTAAAATTTTTGGAATTTTTGTACAATTTAATAATTTTAAATTCATGGTGACACCAAATACACTCTCTTTTATGGTATGAACTCAATGATTGAAATCACTTTCAGATTAATTTGTTTAGTCAAGAATTTACGAGCTGGTGATTACATGGCACAAATCTCGCTCGCTCCACAAGGAGATGCTACTCTCATTCACAACAATATTGCCTTCTTTTTGGAGGAATGTAAATCCTTATCGAATGAAATTCCAACCAAATGGACACCTGCCACACTTGTAAATAATTTGGACATTCATGCCATTTGTCACACCCTTGAAAAATTATCTAAATTTTGCGAAAAGTCTCAAAATAGTGGACTTGATACCTTTTTAAAGATTCCTGCTGTAGAGACAAAAGAGAGACGAGTGAAGAGAACATCCTCCGTTATTGAAGAGTTGAAACAAGTGAGCGTTAGTTTTGTATTGAATCGAATTTTGTTCGAGTTAGAGAGCTCGGATCCACAATATTTAGCCACATTAGCCACACTGTTAAAATTGAAAGACGAACATTGGTGTCAAGAATTTGTTCAGAAAGGAGGCGTAAAAGTCATATCGAAAATCATTGAAAAGTTGAATCATATTTACAAGACTCAAAAAGAAAAAGTTGTGCAGGGAAATTATATTTATTGCTTACTCATTTTATTAGAGAAGGAACTCTATGCTCCATTTCTCGAGTATCCATCTCCTATCACAATTTTGGCAAATATTTTGACAAAGAAGGAATCATTGGTGACGAGGAAATATATTTTGGACATTTTCACCTTGTTGTGTAATCATAGTGAAGAAGGATTTTGGATTGTATTCGATGCATTCGTGATCGAATGTACAAGACAAGCTCAGTTAAATAACCCTTCGTGCATTCGAGATTCAAACTCTTCAAGTGACAATGGAGGAAGTACAATTCGTGACAATGGTAACATCACCTCTTCCATGAACCCATTTTCATCCTTAGTGACATCCTTTGCTTCACAACGAGATGGTCAATATCGAGCAAAGGTCTTGACTCTCTTTACCTCACTCATGACTTGTCCCATTGATTCATTTGTGAGAATTAGAATGAGATCTTTGTTTTCAGAGTTGGATCTCGATGGTGTGATCACATCCATTGAAAATAGTGACTCGATCAAAACTCCACTAGAAAATATTTTGAAAGAGAAAATTAAGGAACATCGTGAAGTCATGAAAAAAGAAGAAAAACAAACACAATCGGCGAGTGCATTGACGATTTATTCAGATCCAGTGCTCATGTTAAAATTACTCTATTTAGATATGGGAATGAAACAAAATGGAGGTATTGGCTATTTAATAGAGGCTATGAAAAGAAAAGGTCATGTCACGAGTAGTAGTAGCAGACATAGTCCTTCTACGTCTGCATCTCCAACCTCTGTGACATCACCTCGATCTGTTCTCTCATCACCCTCTTCTTCTGGATCCGAAGAATCTGAACTGAAAATGTTGAGAAATTTGGCTCGAGTGCAAAAACAACGCATTGACAGGTTGAAGGAACAAGTCAGAGCAGCTGAAACCATGACACAACAAAAGTTTGTACTGACACCACAAGATGCCAACAATATTTCAGACCAAATTATTTTACAAGACATTAAGTTTCAACTGACGCAGTCCTTGAAGGTGTTGAAAGAACGTGAGAAGGAGCTTTCTTCGAATATTGTCATGCAACAGTGATCACTCAAGATCATTTCTGATACATTTTTGGGTTATTTGAATTGGAGAATAAACCCAGGGTTGTAAACGATGTTAGAACATTGATGATTGTATTGTATTCTATCGTACATGAAGCGTACCCAATAAGGAATTGAACACATAGTCGACACAATCATGTTTTGGTGACAAAGGTGCAAGCAAACTAATTGGTTTTTTCTTTTGAGCAATAATTTTAACATGGTTTCAGGAGCGATCAATGATATTGCCATAGAGGGCGGTAGAATGACCCAACCACAGTGATCAACATCTTTTCCTTCTTTGAAGTATCTGATTTCTGAGACCATGTCAACATTGACATTATCCCTTCTCAAGAGTGAAAGAATTTCACGAAGGTCAATTTGCGAACCCATACCTGAATATTTCTTTGTGATTAACCTTGCATCGACTTCCGTTTCTCCTTCATATCTGTATCTCATGGTGAACACTCTTTGTGGAGACTCAACAAGTTTGGAATGATCAGATGAATACTCATCGTTGCTGCCTTCTGACGTTTTCATCTTTTTTCTTTGTTGAGATAATGTGCCTGAGAACTCGAGAGGAATATTAAGACACAACTTGGCACACCATACTTCTGAATCATTCCCAATTATGGAAAGTGCTTGTGGTAAATAGGTGGCAGATTGGTCGTCTTCATCAAACGTATATTTGGAGTCATTGATTCGGCCAAAAACAATACATGGATCAGTAAGGCGACACTCTCCATTTTCAGATTTTGGAGTTGCTCCAAATCCAAAAACAATTGAACTTTGATTTTCAGAATATGCCAAGGTACCCTTTTCCAAAATATGTGTTGTCTGTTGCGAAAAATTCGATGGAAATTCGTCATTCTCTAAATCCATCCACAGAGATTGCCCACATGAAAGAATAGGACCCATGACGATAGGTTCTACCTTTAACAATGCATTTCCAACTGCATTGTTATATATTTCAGTCTTAATCACAAAAGATGTCGAGTTATTTTGCTTGAAGAAAATGAGATAGGCATCGGATGAATCGACATGTTTTGATATCTTTCTTGATGCTTGCTGCTCTTGCTTTTTTGGCGTCTCGTCCAAAGGGGTATTGCAACTGTGATCGACGCAACTTTCAGGAAGTTCATTCACGCTCTTCTTTTTAATAAACGTTATAATCCTCTTTTGAAGTTCTTCACTTTCTTGTCTGAATTTTTTCAAACTGTCTGCTGTTTCATGCAAAGTTTCAATGTCAAAACCAGACTTTTCGAATTCAAGCAAATAATACTGGTAAAGAATTTTTAGCCTTCCACCAGGGTTCTTAACAATTGAGCAATAATTTCGCATGAACGAATATACGTCATTCCAATCTGACATTTCCATTGAGCTGTAACCTCCATTCTTTTTCACTTGAACGAAAAGACGGAACATATCCAGTGGTATTGATCTCCATTTGGGAAAAGGATTTGGAAATGAGAGTGGTATGTTTTCATACATGAATTCCAAATACCTAGAAAGGAATGTTTCTTCTTGTTCATCATTAAGGGAAGAAGTCTTGGTGATGAAAAACTTTAAATAGTCCATCATGGCCGCAACTGAAGAATCCTTATTGGAAGAGGAAGATGAGGCAGAGGAGTTTCTTGAAGAGACTTTTCGAACCCTTCGAACAGGAGTAACAAAGTTTGGTGAAGATGTCGTCTTCTGAGAATCTGACAAAGTTGACTGTTGAAGTAAACCTTGTGCCATGCGGGTGCCAAGCAAGGTAGTAATGTCTTTAGCATAGTTCCTGGTTACCACTCTCCTCATACCATGATGATGATGTTCCGATCTTAAATAAGAAGAAGCAATAGGTTCTTCTTTCTCAATGACCAGAGTTGGAGAAAGAGTTTGCGACGGATCTGAAGAATAAGTCTTTGTAAGCACCTTGAGTTGAAAAGGACTCTCAACCGTTTTGTAAGGCATGAAAATAGAGGCTTCTTCTTCTTCAGACTCACTCAAAATGTACTCATCCGATGATTCATCTGAAGCCTCGCTTGAATCCTCTTCAATGTTCTTTCCATCATTTCTTTTGGATCTATTCATGATGTTTGAGTTATTGTTCTAATATCTTCTTTATGAATTCTAAGGCTTTGCGAAACTTGGAAGTTGTTTGGGTTGGAATCTTGTGATCCCTTATTTGATTTTTTTTTTAAACTTACAATACTTAAGGCATTGTAAAATATTGTAAAAAGGTCCGAATTGTGAATGATATTAAAATCATCAATGACTTCTCTGGTCTGAATTCATGAAAACACCAATTCTCTGATTTTCTTTCTGTATTTCCTTTCAACATATTTCGAACTCACAAAATGACTGTCATTCATTCATTTGCTTTAGGACTCCTTGTTGAAGTCAACCGTACCTGGCCTATCGGACTTTGGTTTCAAGTGTTTCGAAATAAAGCGCCGACATGGAATTTTCGGCAACTTTCCACACTTACAATTATGGCTCATGGATATCGTCGTTTCATATCACTTGACTAAAATTAAAAACAAGACAACAACAGCTAGAAAAAACAACCACAAGAGGTTCACCCACTCACTCCAAGAGAGAGCGCACAACTTTTACTTTTGTATCCATATCAATACAACAACGTGTTTCTCCTGAGTATTCCACTACCATCAACAACACATTCATCAACCACCACCACAACAACACATGCCTCTCCTCGCTGTGTTCAACAAAAAGACTCGTGTGCCATCCATGGACATGGACGAACAACACGAACGACAATTTCAGAAACAACAAGTCCCACATCACCACCACGACGAAGATGAAGAACAAGTTTCCAACGACAAGCAGAAATTCAACAACTCCAAGAATCACTCCTCACTCTCCGAAGAAGCCTCTTCCTCCTCCTCACGAGGAAGATCCAAATCCGAACATACAAGCAGCAACTCCTCATCATCACCATCATCATCGGGAAATAGCTCATCATGGTTCGGACGAGGAAGATCACATTCTAACAAACAATCAACCATGACTGTTACTTCTCCCTCGATGGAGGAGACTCAAGAAGGAGTTTCCCATGAAGAAGTGAGAACGAGAAAATTGCAACATCAACACACAAAGAAGAAGGGACAAATTGGAGATTACGAAGAAGATCAGCACGATGAAGAAACACAACTGCATGAAATGAATAAGGACGAACAAAAGGTGAAGAGGAAGTACAGTTTAAAGAAAAAGAGTGCTGAATTGTTAGTTTCTGATGAGTAATGATATTCGTATTCATGGAATACAATGACCTTCAAGTTTTTGTCTTTCCTTGAACCGGTTTCAATCATGTAGATTCTGTACATATATCAACATGTAAAATATTTCACACTATCAATGTACAAAAGAAATTAACCAATCATCATTCGTCATTAAAGAGCATTCATGTATTAATGTTGACTTTGGTATGTACCACAAATGTAACCTATAAATGAAGTTAAGGCTATATAAGGTGCTACTGAAGAAAATGTCTTTCCAACTAAAACCATCCGTTGTCTCAACTCCAAGAGCTCTGCTTCTCAATGTAAATAGTCGAATCATTGAACAATCCTTTCATTCCGATACATGTTACTACTCGTGCAAAATTTAAATTCGAACAAGGGATTGCACATGTCGTCGTGTGACTTCTTCGCCTATTTAATGAGACGATCATTTCTCACAGCTCCTGCCTCCTTATAATACCTCAAAAGCATTCTCTTTTCCAAATCGCTAGCATACTCACGTTTACTGAACTTGTCCAGCTCATATCCAATGATCAAGGAAACACCCAATGACAATGCAGCATAGAAAGGAATTCTTCTTTTCGTTCTCCTTATCATTTCCTCTCGTTCAGTCTCCACGTCAAAGAGTCTAAAAGTTGGCTTGTTGTGCATGAATTGATTCCACTCAGTTTTCGATTCATCAAAAAAGTGAGAAGAAATCTTTTCATCCTCCATCCGAGTTTTCTTTTGATTCAATTTTCTCATCTTTTCTTGAAATTCCTTCTCGTCCTCACTCATTTCTTGATAATAATTTTCAACATCTTCTCTTCTTGATTGGTATCGATCCGATTGATGAATATAATGATACATTTTCCTCCTCATGGCCGAATCGTAGGCCACCGTATTGAGATTAGTTCCGAAAATACTACTCGAACTATTCATAATTCTTCCAAAATGTGTTCCAATATCCAACTCTCGATCGTACTCTGCTCTCTTTTCGTCATCACTTAATAATTCATAACTATCCTGAATATCGAGCCATGCCTGTTCATCCTCCAACGAAAGTACCGAATTTGATGGTTTTCCATTATTAGAAGTTAGCTCGGAATCATTGGGAGATTCTATATTATTCTGTGTGGAGTTATTATTTGATGATGTCGAATTGGAGGACTTTTTGGTGTCGGGATGGTACTTTTTAGCCAATGCATAATATGCTTTTTTAATTTGTTGTTTAGAGGCTGTACGAGGCACTCCCAATACAGCATAGTGATCCATAATTTGTGTGGGTAATTTCATTTTGTGTGTACTTTGTTGTCCGAAAGATGATGATAATGTGAAATTATTGTAATAATTATTTGAGAATGATTCAATGGAGAAGAGGTGTTGTATATGTTTCGAAATAATAATACAGAAGGAACCGTCAGAATTGGATAATGACGTTTTACAATGCGATGAGTTATTATACTTTTCTGTGTGCTTTTGTGTTATTATACTATTCCGTCTGTTCCGAAAAGATGACACTGATGGTGATGACGACTGCGACAATGACGACGGCAATATTATGGATGACAATGAAAGTGGGTGTTGGTGTGGTCGCCTTGTTTTTGTTTGAAAAAATGCTGAAAAAGGAGTTTTTAATTTGAAAAACGCAAAATTCGGCCCGAAGTGATTTGCTATTGTCCGACATTTGACTTTCTCATTGAATAACATTGTTTATTTGATACATCAAATAATTACAAATGATCATCATCTTTAAACTGGACCAATCACTAATATATTATTCGTTATTTAATAATACTATTTATCGATGTTGAAATTAATTTTTTTCAAATTTTAATTTTTTGTAAACTTCACAAAATGACCGCCAAATTCCGTCCAATCCCAAAACAACATTTGCCGCCACCGCCAAATTTCATCCGTTAAACTTTGAATATGAAAAATGAGCACAGAATCTGCCAGCTGTCATCATCTTAAATTTTCACACGACTGCTCCTGCCAAGTCAACAACAAAAAAACAAGTCAATCATCTCATTACCAGATAATTGATACATTCCTCCCTCTCTAATAACAAAAACACTCTAATTCACTCACAACACACTCAAAATGAGAGAAGTCGTTTCATTGCACATCGGACAAGCCGGTATTCAAGGTATGTTATTTTCTGTCAACAATTTAAACATTCTCATCATCATTGAACGAATAATTTTCTTCATCATTCTTTCACACTCTCATTCCATTACAAACCATTCTTCATCACTCTTCCCACACACCACCTGCCATTTGTCATTCTCACACAGTCGGTAACTCTTGTTGGGAACTCTTCTGTGCCGAACATGGCATCAACCCAGACGGAACCTCCAGCACTCTCCTCGGCAACGATGCCTCTGTCTACTTCTCCGAAAGCTCTCGTGGCAAGTACGTTCCACGTGCCTTGATGGTCGATTTAGAACCTTCCGTCATTGATGCCATCAAGAACACTGAATACAAACAATTGTATCATCCTTCTTACATGTTACGTGGTAACGAAGATGCTTCCAACAACTTTGCTCGTGGTCATTACACCATTGGAAAGGACATGCTCGACTCTGCCATGAATTCCATTCGTAAGATTACTGACAATTGTCAAAGTTTGCAAGGTTTCCAAATTTTCAACTCTGTTGGTGGTGGTACTGGATCTGGATTTGCTTCCTTGTTGTTGGAACGATTGGCTGTGGAGTATCCAAAAAAGACTAAATTGGGTTTCAATATTTATCCAAGTCCTCAATTGACCACTTCCGTTGTGGAACCTTACAACTCAGTCTTGAGTACTCATGCTCTCTTGGAACACAACGATGTCTCTGTTGTGTTGGATAATCAAGCCATCTATGATGTCTGTAAGAATAACTTAAAGATTGAGAGACCTAATTATAAGAATTTGAATCGAGTCATTGCTCAAACTGTTTCAAGTTTGACATGCTCATTGAGATTCCCTGGTTCATTGAATGTGGATTTGAATGAATTCCAAACCAATTTGGTTCCTTATCCAAGAATTCACTTCATGTTGTCTTCATTGGCACCAATGGTCTCTGTCACTGAACAACACTATGCCAATAACAATGCTGCTGAATTGACCAGTCATGTCTTTGAACCAAATAACATGATGGCTAAATGTGATCCAAGAAGTGGAAAGTACATTTCATGCTGTTTGATGTATCGTGGCAAAGATATTGTCAATAAGGATGTGAGTGATGCTGTCAAGGTCATGAAGAGCAAGTCAAGTATTCAATTCGTGGATTGGTCTCCATGTGCTTTCAAGATTGGTATCAATGAAAAGTCACCAACCATGCTGCCAGGAAGTGAAATGGCTCAAGTCGATAACTCTTGTTCCATGATCTCCAACAACACTGCTATTGCTTCAGTATTCGCAAGAATGAATGACAAGTTTGATTTGTTATTTGCTAAGAGAGCCTATGTCCATCACTTTGTTGGTGAAGGAATGGAAGAAGGTGAATTCAATGAAGCTCGTGAAGATTTGGCTGCTTTGGAGAAGGATTACAGTGAGATTAGTAAGGATACCATTAGCGAAGAAGACTCCATGTTGGATGAAGGTGAAGAAATGCATTAATCTTAATATTAATTCTTAAGAACTCCTCCTCCGTAGTGAGTGATCTTTCTCACCCTAGTACTAATTCAATGGAATGATCGTTTTCATGGGGTGTTCATGCATGACGAAGGTTCATACATGCGTCACATGGAATAATAATAAACGAATTGTGGAGTTTATAATACTGCAAAGATCTTTTTTGTCTTGGAATATATAAGGGTGTTTACCATATTGGTACATCAAAAAGGTTCATGTCCTCGCAACTCCCGTTCGTGCGCAAAACAGAACTTTCCTTGTCTCTGGTGTTTGGTCAGAAATTCGCTGGATTGAACCCTTAGATAGACTTCGAACATTCCATACAAGTGCAAAACAGAGAGTGTCTCTTTTTGTCAATTTTCAACAAGGAAATAGAGAACTGGTACCGAAAAGCAAGATGCCTTTATACCGTTTCAACAAGAAAAATGGCAACCACATTGCAGGGAGGTGGTGGAGGTGCTGGCTCTTTTGTACATACTGACTACTTCACAACATCGACCGAGACTGAAGAAACTAGCTCGGATGATGCTCTTGCTTCGATCAAAATCAAAATTAAGAATGAACTTTTGAACTTCCTCTGCATGATGCAATACAACCACAGACAGAAAGGAGTGAAGGTCTTTCTGCTCTATTTATTGTCATATGTTTGGAATTTTTGGACTTGGATATGGGCACCCGTATTGAGTGCAACCGATTTTCATTATGCCCAATGGGGAAGCTGGTTACTCAACTCCATCAATTACCCTGTAACCTTTTCGATGGAGATTATGCCTTACATGGGATCCCTATTTCTCGCTTGCTTTGTAATTTTTCTCATGTTTTCCCTTCTCACGATCTATACCTTGAGTTGGAGAGCCTCACGAGTCTCCTCTCGATATATCAAAATCTATCAACTGGTGATTTATATCAAATCATTTCTTGCGATTCTTCTAACTGCACCAAGTACATTTGTGATGACTGCCTTTGTGGATTGTAGTTATGGTTCAAGTCCAATTCGAGTACGGGAGGCCATACTTGATTTGGTCAGAACACAACAACAAGCTGTTGTCTCCACCAATGTAACCTCTCCTTCTAACCTCTCATTCATGGGACCAGAGCACACGATCATGAATTTCATTGGAAATAGTACAATCCCTTCTTTGCAATTTTCTTCACGGAATGTCCTTAATCGGTATCCTGAATATGAATGCTTTGGATCTCAAAACACTGCCCTCTTTGCAATGGTGATTATATTCACTTTCGTGTACATCTTTTTAGCTTTGCTCTCCACTTTTATCATTCCTAATTCGCACCCTCGAAACGTTACACCGATGATCTTTGATAGCTTACTCTTTCAGCCCATCATTGTCTTGGGAAATATATTTTCAATTCTCATCCATTATGTAGTGCCTCCTCATTTAGCCTATGTTCGATCGATCATTCATCTCATGATTTCGGTGGGTGCCATTGTGTTTGTTTTCAAAACTGTTCCAATGATGAGAAGAGTTGAAAATACGGTAGTGAGTGGAGTGGTTTGTGCACGTTTGGGAACAAGTATTGGAGGAATGATTTCGTTCTTTGTGAATTCAACCGATGACAAGGAATTAGGAATTGGAATGGCTATCCTGACAATCAGCATGACTGTTCTCTTTGCCTTAATTGGCAGTCTCTCCATGGAACTTTACACAAGATTTGTCATTAATTACATTAGAAATAAGTACATGATTTTACATGAAGGTAGCTCTGGAACTGTTGAAAAAGAAGCATCTCTAATATACTCTAAAGTCGATGAGGATGATAATTTAAACAAATTAGAAATGTTTATCAAGTTCACAATGATGAGAGTTGGAGCCAAGTTGGATGAGCAAGATCATGACTTAACACAATGCATTGCATTTATAAGGGCTGCATCCACTTCCAAGTCCTTTACAGATTTTAACCTACTTGTTTTGTCCTCAATATTGATTGTTTATGTTTTGGAGGATGATCCCAACGCAAATATATTCTCACAAGCGTTACTGAAGAGAGCAATGAAACGAAGACCTAACATTTATAGAAGAATTGTAATCAAACAAAAGTTGAAAGAGTTTGAAGTTTATATCGTAGACGAGACCAAAACATTGGGAAACACGAGTGAACTGAAGTCTGTGCTTGCTAAACTACAAAAATCAACGCTTGAATTGACGTCGTTGCATCGTCACTTTTGGAAAGAAATGACCAACGAGATCATTGACCACACCAAGATTGAAAAAATTATAATTCGCTGTTCCGCATTAATGAGCGAATGTGATGTAATTTTCGGCCACCTTTTGTCAATGTATCACAATGACAAGACAGTTCTGAGACAATATGCTCAATATATTGAATCCTTCAAGTTTAATAAGGAACTAGCGAACGAGTATTATACTGAGGCGACAAGCTTGGAAGAAGAAGAATTGCTACACCGCAGCCCAGTTCACAAAAGTATTGTTTTAAAGAAAAACAAAAATAGAATTCATCCAGACACATCCGATGAAAACAATCCACATGAACCAGAGGAAAAACCCATTGAATCTTTTGTTTCATTATTCAGTAACCCAAAGGAAAACAACGTTGACGTGGCAAGTGAATCAAGTAATGACAATTTCAACGGAATTGAAAGTGTCACTAATGAAGCCAAGAGAGAGATTGTTTTTAGAAATTCGTTAAACACTCCTGCCCCAAGATTGATTCAATTGACAGCTTTTTTCTTTTACATTGCTTTTACATTGGCACTCTTGGTGGTTGGAGTTGTCCTCTCTTATATATTTTCAATGGATGCGACGAGGAATGTCGTTCATGTGGTCGACGCTTGTAGTCCAATTTACGTGCCAACCAATATTCTTGTTGCACTCCGAGGATATCAAATCTATGCAAAATCTGGTATTAATACCACCACTGCCTCTAAACTGAAAAAAACTCCACTCACTGAGCTCTTTATGGACGTTAAAAGTAATAAGAAAATAATTGAAACATCACGACAAGTCTTAATCACACTACAACAAAAAGCATATGACGCCAAATTTGAGTATACTATATATTCATCCTATCATGAAACTTATTACCCAATCATCTTACCAAAAATTGGATCCTCTAATGAAAAATTATACAACATGAGCTCCATTGAAAACGCCACCATCACCAACATTAATAACTTGTTAATTGAGATTACAGACAAAATAACAAGTAATGAGGAGGCTAATAGTTTAGAAACTTTTTCAAATTATGCCTTCATGGTGATATACAGAAATCAACAAACCTTCACTCAAGCTTACTCTAATTTTTGCAGGGCGTTTATAGAGCACGCAAAGATGGATGCTTTTCAAGTTAATTATATTATTACCATCTACACAGCAGTATCATTATCTATATTTTTTTTATTCAGTTTACTGTATTTACTGTATGAGAGACTTGAGCTCACCATGCTGCATAAGCAAATGAATCTATTGCACTCCAATGTAACCAAGAACGAGAGTGGACAGATCTTTCACATGTTGAGCAAAAGGTTGGCGAGGAAGTTTCCATTCATATTTCCAAGAATGCTTTTTTGAAACCTCAAAACTATTATCTCATTGTTACATCATTATTGACAGCGATTGTCATTATTTGTGGTGCAGTTTTTTTGAACACTACTCTGGGAAACTCCTCCTATTGTTTTGAAAGTTATGTAACAATGCAAGATGCATTTGATAGTTTGACTTATTTGCAAGAAACTTCGTTTTCAATATTTGAAGTATATGTGCACCGCGGAACAACGATTGATGGAAATTTGCCCCTTCTCTCTCATTATGATCTCTCAACCATTATTTCAAATTTTGAAAAGTTGATCTATAATTTTAGCAAATTCTGGAATTTGTGTATGTTTGGAAGCTCAAATAAGGCCTATGAAACACTTGTAGTAGGAATGTTTCCTTCAACAGATCGACTGATTCGAGGGGAGCTTAATTGTACACTTGAGACAGTGGAGAAAACATGGTCTTCTCTGAACAATACTTCGTGTGAAATTGGAATTGATTATATGGTGTCTTCCTTGATTACAAAAGGAAGACAAGTGATGGAGGATGTGACCATTGCAAGAACAAACAATTTTGAGGACCAAGTCCGAAAAGTTTTTACAATTGGAACTCTGTTGACTTTAATCTCTGACAAATTGGTGAATTTCTCGGTCGTGTTTGCAGAGTACTCCTCTAAACCGCACATTGATGATTTGGTGGTATTTGCAATTATTGGATTTATATCTTTGATGTTTTTGGGGACTTTAATGTTTCAATCTCTTTCGAACCACTCAAAAACATTATTTGCATTGAGGACCATGTTCAATTACTTGACGATTGAAACCGTTGAAAGCAATGACAAGTTGAAAAACTTTGTCCTCTATCATACCGTGGAAGATGGACTTTCCAAGTTCTTTCATTCCTCGTCGAAATCAGAAAGCGAAGATGCCAAACTCATGTCCATTATTAATGGAGCAGTGGATGGTGTCGTATTGTGCAATTCATCGATGGGAATCGATGTGTTTAATGCTGCTGCTCAAAGAATGTTTGGTTATCAAGCACAAGATGTACTTGGTAATAGCCTTCTTTCTCTTTTTGTGAAAGATAAACAAGATGAAATTAAGAAAATGATTGAATCCATGAAAAATCAAGTCACAGAAAGAGATCCAAAAGGAGAAACCACAGAAGTGGAATTACTTCGAAAAAATCATACTACCTTCCCTGGAAATATGAGTGTATTTGTCACGCTTTTCCAAAAGAAACATGTCATTACATGTTTTGTGAAGGATATTACACCCGAGAAGAAACACAATGCTCTCTTGGCAGAGGAAAAGAAGAATTCTGAAAATTTATTGTTGAACATTTTACCATCAGCTGTTGCAAATCAACTGAAATCAGGGGCCTCTTTGATTGCTGAAAAGTTTCCAGATGTCACTTGCTTTTTTAGTGATATGGTCGGATTTACAAGTATTTCATCGAAAATGTCTCCCAGTGAATTGGTTCAAATGTTGAACATCATTGTGATTGGGTAAGTCATGATGAATTCATTATCATTGAATTAATAATAATATTATTATAAATATTGATATTTAATGAATTTTTTTATCGAAATCCACAGATTTGACGACTTGACGGACAAGTATCGACTTGAGAAGGTAAAAACAATTGGAGACGCTTACTTTTGTGCTGGAGGATTGCACAGCGATGGAGGTCAATCGGATAGTCCTGAACGTATGCTAAGGGTAAGTGTTATTGAGAGTTTTGAGGAAAGTTTAACATTCATTGTTGCCATCTAGTTTGCCATTGATACTTTTACTGTTATTCGAAACTATAACGCTGCAAATAGAAGAAACAATATTGAGGAGCAAGTAAATATTAGAGTAGGAATTAATACAGGAGCAATTGTGGCAGGGGTTATTGGTCGAAAAAAGTTTGCCTATGACATGTGGGGAGTAAGTATTAATAATTTTAAACGGGTTTGAATTGACTTATTTTGTAACTTGAAGGACACCATCAATGTTGCCTCAAGAATGGAATCGACATCAAAACCAGGAAGAATACAAATTTCAAGATCTGCCTACGAAAGAGTTTATGATCTTGGATTTACTTTTGAAGAACGAAAAGTAGAAGGTAAGTCTTGTGACAAAAATCATGACCGATTTGAAACGATGATCTTATTTTCGTGCAGTGAAAGGAAAAGGTTTGACACAAACATACATGCTTAACTCGAACCATCATGTATCTGCAATTCTCACAAATGAAGAAATGCAAGATTTGATCCAAGCTCAAAACCAAGACATTTGCAACGCTGGTGAAGCAGACAGTCCAAAAGAAAATGAAGATGAGAATTCTTCCGATAAGTATAACTCACAAGTCTAACATTTGACTTGTAGAGAGAATGATGATTAAATCTTTTTCTGAAAAGTGCAACAACGTTCAATCAATTTGAGTCTCGTTCACATGAAACAGATACCATGTACACGTTGGGGAATATTAATTCCAACCAGATGTTTCACATGGAGGTGAAATTATAATTGGTTCTCTGTGCATGTCCTTCTTGATTTTACAAGATTTTCATTAAAATTCTCCGCCTTACAAATTCAAGATTGAACATCAATTTCCTTATTCACCCGAATAAATTCAGAGAGTTTTCCTCACTTTTTCAAAAAAATTTAAGAAAAAAAATATCCCAACCACCACTACCCTGCTGATCAGAATCCGATGGCTCAATCTTCTTCTTCTTCTGCACCACCACCACCACAAGGACTGGCTCCAAAACCAGGAGATACCACCGTTTCATCGGAATGGTTAGAATTCATCTTGAGAAAGAAAGGTCTCTTAACGGATGAGAATCTTCATGTGGTATCTGTAGAGATGAATGAATTGAGCGATAACAGAGGACTTGCTGCTATCATGCACCGATTAAGTGTGGTTTATTCAAATCAATCATCACTACCAAAAACATTCATGTTGAAAACAAGTCCAAATAGTGAAGATGCAAAAGCTCAATCCAATGCTCGTGGACAATACAGAGAGGGATTGTTTTATGATAGTGATTTATTGAACCAATTGGAATTTGTCTCTAAAAATGTCTTGTATGGTTATGGATGTGAAGAAACTGGTGAATATGTATTGCTCATGAAAGATTTAAAAACGAGTGATCAAGTGATTGGTGTGAATTTTGTCTTCGGTAATCAAGTGTGGGGAATGCCTGAAATGAAAGTCACACTTCCAGATCCTGTTTCTGTTCTGGAACAAATGTATTTAACTTGTGCAAGATTGAATGCCAAGTTTTGGAAGGATTCAAACTTGTGGAGTCAAGATCATGGATTTTTGAAAGCATCTGGATTTTATAAGGGTGAAAATAGAGATGTGTGGGAACAAGGAATGACCAATGGACGAAATGCTTGGAATGTTGCCAAGGAAAGAAATGCTCAGAGTGAATATTTTAAATTCTCTGAAAAACTCGTTGGAATTATTGATCGATCATATGAGTTGGCTAGTTGGGAAAATATGCAAAAGGCAATTCATGAAGAACCATTCGCTTTGTGTCATGGTGATTTTCATGCGAGTAATATGTTTGTAAATGTTGAAACTTTGGAATTGTCATTGTTTGATTGGTCTGAAGTTGGAATATGGAATCCAGTGACAGATTTAGCTCAGACTCTCATCTCTGATGTGAATCCTGACATTGTAGCTAAACATTCAAAACGTTTACTAAGAGTTTATTATGATGAATTGATTCGTTGTGGAGCTGACTTGACTGATTTTTCATTTGAGGACTGTTGGAACTGTTTCTGTAAGAATGGTCCAGAGAGATGGATTTGGCTTTTCTCAGTGTTAGCATCCTTATCGTTCATTCCTGAAAAAGCTGTGAAATATTGGCATGATCATTTATTGTCTTTCATTGAATCACATGGTGACTATCCTTTCTATAATTTGAAATCCATTTGCTAATTGTGTGATGGTTATTATTTTTCCATCATGAACAATTAGGTCTTTGCTTCTAGAAACACAATCTGTTCGTTCATTTATTAACATCACATTGCTAAAGTCTACTGATTAAATTGTCTGAACATATTTTGGAACGATTCCAATGTTAAATTCAGAGATGGTGTCAAAGTTGTCGACGAGCTGTCACTGTTCGCCGTCATTATTGAACAAGTATTTCCCTCTTCCTCTCCGACCTTCATCAATGCCTTTCTTCGAGCACAATCGATCATTCTCTGCACTATATGACCGAATCCCCTAAAAACCTTCACAAATCTCTTTCCCATTAAACTAGCAGACAATAAATCTCTTTCTAACATGTCATGATAGTAAATAAGCTCCTGCCTTAAATGTTGATTGCAATTCTCTTTTTGAATTTCATTTTCAATTTCCTCAATCGCTTCCGCATGTGACTTCCATCCAATAGCAATTCCACTCAATAAAAAAGGTGGAATATAACCAAACAGTGGATGTGACGAGAGACGTGTTAATTCTTCTGTCACCGATCGAAGTTCTCTTCCTCGCAGACCCAACTCTCTCAAAATTCCTAATCGATACGAAACAAGGGCAATAGAAATGATGAGATGAGATAAAATTTTTCCCTTTTCTGCCACATTCTTTTTAGTACTGTCATATTTGGAGTAACATTCATAAATTTTGTCCACAAAGTACAAATATCTGGGAAGTGTTTCTTTGGTGAGTGGTTGCTTCAGGATGGAAAGTAATTCTTCTGGAACGAAATTGGAACCCGAGCTGTATTGGTATCCTTCAAGTAATTTACGTTGAATATAGTGTGAAACACCAATATGTTCATAATCGAAATCATGTGTAATAAAAGTTGCCAGTATACACGCTCGTTTAAGACAAATTAATGCATCGTCCAAATCTTTGATTTGTGACAGGTAGGTTTTTGTGATTGCTACCAACTCAGTGGCGTCTTGATCCATAGAAGATGCTGCAGCATAGGATGCTAAATAACAACAAATAGCTGCCATCAAATAACTCGGTTGATCCAAATCATGATATTCCGAAAATAGTAATTCCTTACTTCTTTGAAACGATCGAATGGCATTTTCATTATTTCCAAATCTCTGATAACAAAAACATTGAATCGCATATAACAATGCAAAATATTGAGTACTGGTTCCATAACTTTCCTTTTCAGCCAATATATTTTGAAACTTGCTTTGAGGAATGATCGAAACGCCAGCTGTCACAACTCCAAAAAAAAGATCCACTGTTTGTTGTTGAAGAACGACTTGCGACAGAACTGCATTTCGTTCAAAAGTGTCATACACAGCTTCGTCAATGACTTGTGGAAGTTGGAGAGAATGTTGAATGGTTTGATTTGGAAAATTTCCAACTGTTGGAGTTGTGATTGTTGAAGTATTTAAATTCATCATGTTCGTCGTGGTTGAGTGTTGTATCGTGGAAGTGGAAAACTGTGATCCATGTTGCTGAAGGAATGGCATCATGACTTCTGAAGTATTTCCTTGTTTCAAAATGAGTGGCCATAAATGGTGCAGAACGGAAGGATCCGCATGATTTTGAATGGCCATTTGAAAGAGTTGTAAAATATTTTCAATAGTCAAAGACTGGGAGGGTGTGGAAATGGTGCTTCTTTGAGATAAGGTAGTGCTTCTTTCAGAATTTACAGGTGCTTGATTGGTTTGGTCATTCGAATCTTCTTGAATCCGATTTGAGGAATTCACAAATGTGTCAGTTTTACCAAATATGGAATTTGACATTTCTTGTCGTTCACAAATGAAGGAGTGGAAAGAAGAGGCATTCATTGAAGGTGTATTCATAGAGGGAGTGGTGGTATTCTCCTTACTATCACTCGAAAGCAAATACTGATCATGATGAACATTCAACACTTGCGGAGATGCTTTCTGATTCATTTCATCTCTCTTTTCAATGTTTTGTAAAAGTGTTGTCTTACAAGTCATTATTGGAACTGTTGAAACACCATTCGTAATAGTAGAGACCATTGAGGAAGACAAGTTCGATTCATTGATTTGAAAGTTGTGATTATTTTGTGAAGAAAGGTCAAGTGGTGGTTGTACTGGAGGTGGTTTCCTATGTGAAGATTGAGGAAGTGACATTGCAGGTGTCATTGTCGTCGTCGTCGTCGTTGTGGTGGTGGAATTTGACGATTGATCCACACGAGTGAGTGGATGTAAGGTTAGAGTGGCATGTTCTTGAATAAAGGTGGTATTTGTAATAGGAGGAGTAGGAGTGGTGGTGATGATGATGGTCGATGGAGGTCCATTTGGAAGCAAATTCGCTTTTCTTGTTCTCTTCTTTACATGACCTTGAATGGACTGACTGTCACTTGTCATCAAGGGAATCGTGGTCACGGAGGAATATTGTTGATTTTTGTTTTGAGAATAGGTGTTGCTTATTTGAGTGGTGGCTGCTGTTGAGGAAGAAGGTGTTAGTGGTTGAGGAGTTAAGAGGGTCACTTGCACACACTTGTTATTTTGCTTTCCCTTTTCAAAACTGTCCAATCCAAGTACACTGATCGTGACAGGTTTCTTTTTTTGAATCTTGTTTTTGCTACCCACGGTTCGACCTCTTTTCTTGGCTGCAGGATAGTCACAAACTTTTCCTTTTGAAATGCATTCATGACAAGATGGCAACTGACGTCCACATCGTTTATGTCCTCGTCTACATGTGATGCAAGAGATGGGATTAAAATTAGCATCTGATTCAATAATTGGAGTTGTTAATTTTCCCTCCTCCAACAATTGGTCGTCTTTTTCATTGTTATTCTTCAATTGTTTTTCAAAAGTATTTACATGAGTGCTAATTGTTGTTGAAAGCGGAACACATGATTGATGACCAGAGCGTTCGATTTCACTCAACGACGATTCATGACCAGAAACATGTGTGTTGATTTTCCAATTCTCCCGGACATGGTTATCCGCCGAGGAAGTTTCTAATGTGAATGGTGGAAAGAAGACGTCTGTCAGTGTGAGTTCTTGTGGTTGTGGTGGTTGTGGTGGTTGTGGTGGACTCTGTGATAGCGGAAACTCCTTCATCGAGTGGTTGTTATTGTTATTGACAGAGAAGAGTGATGACATGTCAGAGTGTAACTCCTTCTGAGCTACATGTTCACAGTGTTGCTGTGAGGTACAGGCATTATTGAATACCTTTAAAACACGAGAAGAATCTTCATTCGTGTGGTGTTGAAGAGTCGTAGTAGTAGTACAAGGATTCCAATAATGCGAGGATTGTTGTTCAAGTTGTTGTTGTGGTTGTGGTTGTTGTGAGGATTCCTTGTTCGTCGTGTTGGTGGCCATGATCATCTTTTGGTGAATCATGCATGACTCGAGAGTGTGACGTTTTTTGCGATCGATGGACACTTGGTGTCGCAATTTTTTTTGATGGGGAGGTTCTTCTTTGGTCGCGGTATTATTGATGGAGGATAATCCAATGATGACCAGTAGGAATCGCGAGGATGACGTTTTGATTGGAAATGTTAAGAATGGCAGGTGAGCCATATTGCCCAAACTAGTGCTACTTCAAAAGTTGGAATGAAATAGGGAAGCGCATCCAATGCGAATGCGACATATGGAATGGTGTTACATCCAAAGGGATATATTTCGAAATTCGTACAAAATTGGATTAGTACAGCGTGGAGGTTTGGTGAGCTCGGAAAATAATTTCCCCCTCCAAAATCATTACAATAAAAAAAATGCTGAGCGCTGAACAATTACAGGCCCTTGAAAAGGAGTGGAGTACCTCTGCGGAAGTCATTCCATCACCATCGCCAACAACAAGTTCTCGTTGGTCTTACTCTGGTAAACAACAAGAAAAAGGATTTTCATGGAGCGAAGGAGAGAAATATGATGAAGAGTTAATTTGTAGTGGTGCCCGTGATGGTGGTAAGGGAGCAGCAGCAGCGTCTTATCAAACTCCAACGAAAAAAGCAAGCTCAACCTGGTTATCATCATTATCAAAATACAACGGCTATGGCAATGAGGGTGATGATGATGCGAATACAAATCATTCTCCAACACCACATCATTCGACGCCAGGGTCATCGCCCTCCATACAACCACAACAGCAAGGTTCATCACCATCATCTTCTCCGAGTAAACAACAGCAGCAACATCAGAGTCCACGAATTACAGTTGATCTCATAAGGGATCTTTGTTCTCGACAACACTTGTATCAAACACCTTATCTCAACGACAAATTGTTCCTTCACTTCAAGGGCTTTAGAAAAATTGAAAACCTAGAGTTGTATAACGAGGTGAAAGCATTGTGGTTGGAAGGAAATGCAATCACGGTCATTGAGAATTTAGGACATCTCACCAAGCTACGATGTCTCTACCTCAATCAAAACCTAATTACAAAAATTGAAAATTTGGAAAATTTGACAAATTTACAAACCCTCAATTTGGCAAATAACCACATCAGTGTCGTTGAAAATTTGGAGACTTGCACTCAGCTTGAAACTCTCAATCTGGGAAACAACAAAATCTCTAATATTGAGAGTTTGAACATGCTCTGTAAACTACCTCGTCTCTCTGTTTTGGATCTATCAAGTAATCAAATAACTGATCCAGAAATTGTAAATATTCTTTCTAAAATTCCCTCACTCAGTGTATTATATTTGAAAGGAAATCCAGTGGTGAGCTCATTAAGAAATTATAGAAAAGTGCTCATCTCTTCAATTCCAAAGCTCAATTATCTTGATGAAAGGCCAGTGTCACCTGATGAAAGACGATGTGTACAAGCATGGGCAAAAGGAGGACCAGTGGCAGAGGCAGAGGAGAGAAAAAAGATTATTGAGGAAAAAGAAAACCGGCATGAAAGAGAAATGAACGCTTGGTTAGAAATGCAGCAAAAAGCATCAGAGAGGAGAAGTCAGGAAGAAAAGGAAGGTGTGTTAAAACGGATGTATTACATTGAAAAGTTGAGAGAAGCAAATCTTCCAAAAGAGACTGCCATTCCGCTTTCCTTACAACCTTCCTTGGAAAAAGTGGAAGTTCCATCGATGAACACATCTCTGGAGAAAGAAACCATTCAGCAAATCAATCGGGTGGAACAAACGGTAATTCCTCCGAGAGAAGCTTCCACACCAAAAGAGAGCCCACCAAAGGAATTGAATCATGCAATTGAAGGTATTGTATGGAATGCAGAAATTAGACAAGTGTTGTTGCAATCTGTACGAAAGGAGCTGTTCAACTTTGAGAAGGTGTCGAAAGTCGTCCAATCTTTTGTGTTGAAAAATTACAAAGTGCAAGACTCATCCAAACAGCTTGTCGAAATGAAGGATGCCACCTCACACGACAACAAAACGTTCTTGGTTTCGGCATGTGCATACACATCCGACAGATGCCGGATGGAGTATTCACGACTGCACAAGGATAACCAAGACGCTCCATCGAAGGAACAATTGAACTCTCCTCTTGTTGAAATTTGGCAATCCAAGAAATTATTTTAAATGGTCATCATCATCAGACAATAAAAGTATGCATGCTTCAACAAAGGTCTTTTTAAATTTTTATGAGAAACCAAATTCAAACTTAACGGTTAACAATTTCAAAAAACTAACCGTTACAATAATAAATTCAAAAAAATGCAACAACAAGCCTTTTATCCCATGCAAACGACACAACATTTGATGGAATCCTCTTTCAATTATCAACAGCAAGGATTTCCGCAACAACAATCTTCCTATCAACAGCCTCGAAAGTACATTGTACCCGAGCAACAAACTCCTTTCCAGGCAGACCCCAATGCTCTCCATTCCATCTTGAACAATCAACAATTCCATTCAGAGCAATCATTCATCGATCCCTACAATCTCAATGCTAGGTATTCGTATGTTCCAGGAGGATCCTCTCACCCGAAAACTCCAGGAAAATCTCCATATTCCAACCATCAAATGATGATGATTCACTCCAATTTGAACAAGGAGAATGACTATCAGTTCAACACGAACACTAATGGATGCTTAAACACATCGACCCATGCGTTTCAAAGACAATCCATACTACAACCTAAAACACCAGGAAAATCGAGCAGCAATACCTCTTTAATTTCCAGTACTGCCATTACTCCTGGCAGGTCTTCTCTCCGCAAGGAATCGCTGTGCAAAACTGGAGAAAAGAAATTTTTGCATACACCAAAGAGAGCGACAGCAGTCTCTAATCAATCAAAACCTAAAACTCCATCCCATCATAAAACTTCTCTTCTCAATACTTCTAGTACGTCCTTCAACAATAATAATAGCACCAATGGTGGAATGAGCTCATTAAATAATTCTATCATGTTGAGCAATAACAACTCGAGTAGGAATGTGAATGGTAGGACCAATTCGAGTCAATCATCCAAGAGAAACGTGTCATCTGTAGTCAAAGAGAATGATCGAAAATCTCAAAGATTCACACATTCACAAACAAATCGACAAGCACAATCAAGTACACACAGCAAACAAAAGCAGTCAGCTCAATATTCGAAAGGAGCAAATACAAGCTGCAATGATGGCATCCATGGATTCCTGACCAGCACTGCCTCATCATCCAGCTTGATTTTTGACAATTGTGACACCTCGAGTGATGACACCTTCATGAATACGACCTTAAATTCATCTTTGAATGACTGCGCGGAACAAGATATTTATCGATTCCTCGATGCTCAACTTCAAAAGAGATCCAGAAATGACCTCAAGGACATTCTGGAACGATACATCCAACTCCGTTTAAGTTATTCCCATAGAGATGCTGGCGCTGATGAAACTCTCTTCTCTCGCTCTTTATCATCGAATACCTCAATATACGAGATGGAGAGTGAAGAAACGACTTGTCAAGAAGTTGATTCTGTTTCAACCCTCACACAACCTTCCGTCTCCACCGCTCCAACCTTCAATGTATTCAACACATCTGCTTCAAATGGTTCATGCAACTCCTCTTCTCAAACGTTAGGAGGTTCTCAACAAGTTTCTAATCTCGCTAATTCTAATCATTCATCCTCTCGAACGTCCATTTACTCTCATTCTGGCCTCAACTCATCCTTAGTAAGGTATGAGCCTAGTGACCTCATCAAGCGATTGTTGAGAGAGGAGGAGCAACGATGCCAAATGATTTCACAAGTGGTGACGAATCCTCATCAACAACATTATCTAAGATGAGTAACAGCTACCATCATCAACGCATCGGACTTCACCTGAAAATAAATGGACTTGTATACATTAAGAAGCAATTAAGCATGGTTATGCATGGCCAAAACTATGAAATATTTCAATTTTCCATTCTAATTTGTTATTACTCTTCATATTCGGATTGTACTGAAAAAATCACATATTTGCTTATTGAATCAGTAACAACCTAAACGGAGAAGAAATCAAAGTAATAACATTCCATAATAGTAGAAATTAAGGAACACTCGCGTCGCTGAGCTCAATGCTGCGGAAAATCTCCACTGTTTGGTTTGCCTTCTTGTTCATCTGGACATTTTTAGTGTCGATCTTTCTCTCGAGATCTTATGAAAGGGATAATAAAGGCTCGACCACCTTAAACAGAAACACCTTTCTTTTAAGGCGTTTTTTCTCATAACCCAAATATGTATGACGGCAAAACGGTATCGAAGAATCTTTGCGAATATTCCTGTCAGACGAACCTCAATTTACGGAATGGACACCACAAAAAACAAACAAACTTCAAATAGTGCCAGTTATATGCATCTGTTGCTTTAAGTAACCCATCTTTACCAATGCCTCAATTCTCGCCAAACACCACGAGCACAACAACCACTCCCTATACTTCCACAAAGAATAAGGAATTCTCGCGAATTACTGAAGAGGATCACCATGCCGTTTGGAATCATCTAAGGAATAAGCATCTCGATCATTATCTGTTACAGGCCAATAATAGTTTGGATGAGTCCTCCGAGGATTTTCTAATCATGATGCATAAGGTTAAGGATATGATGGACATGAGAAGGGGTTCCGTTCCAGTTGTCTTACCTTCGCATTCTTCCTACTTTCAAGATAACTATGAAGAAGATGATCTGGTGAATATTTCAATCGATTTGAAAAGCTCAATGGAAATACCCAAATACGCTCAACCCAGCCAGTCTTCTCTGATGCAAGCAAGTCAGGGAAACCTATTGGGTAGCAGTATGGATTGCTTTTGTTCCGCTTCTTCCTTGTCGTCGATCCTCATTAGCGCAGACGACAAGGAAGAAGCATCACCGCCAGCGGTGATTTCTCCAGCCACAACCACACAAAAAAACTCAAAACTTAATAAGGACATTGAAATTCGGGATGACTCCATTATTTTGTATGGGAATTTGAAAGAGAAGAAGGTGGAAGATTCATTCACGATTGTGGTTTCTCCCTACGAAGAAATTGTGATTGAGAAAGTCACGGGTAAAGGAAAACTATATTGCTTTGACTATTCGAGCAGTTCTGGAAAGATGAAGAAGTTATTGGATAGTGAAGATGAGAATTTTGAGTTTTCTATGTCAACGTCAGTAGAGGAGATTTTAGAGATGAATCGAAAATCCTTTCTCTCTAATGCAGCCTCGGAATCGAAAGGAATTTATGTGTTGGAGTCTGGACGAACCTACTTTTTTAAATATGTGAAAACACGTTCGAAGGACAGTGCCATCCTGTATTACCGCAACAGCTATGCCTTGTAATAAAGAGACACGTTTCATTGTGAGTCACAGGCTAACGGGTCAATCCACTCCTTGCTTACTGCAAAATACTTTGATGTCTTCAACCTCTTCACCCAAAATGTTGTTGTCGAATTCAAAAATTGCGAAAGACAATTCAAAAAAAAACAAATCATTTCATCTTCTCCGGAGGTGCGGTGAAGTTTCAACCACTACATTCACATTCATTCACAACACGCTCTTCATTGCCATCTCTCTCTCTTCAGACCAACAACTTGTGCATCACAGCAAGTCAAGTTCCTTCTTGTCTTCTTTTAACACTCGTCTTTCCACAATAAGCCATTCCTCTTGTTTGGATCAAACTCTAACAACGCACTAAATTTGTGTTGCAGGTTCTCCATCAAAAATAAGCACAGAAATCGATTGGTCTTGTCTCTCTCTTTGCTTTCTCAACAACAACAACAACAACAACAATATCCTTCGAACATCAATCATCACCCACTCAGAGGATTGATTCTATATTGTTGTAATATTGTTTGAAAAGATCCATTTTAATAGATTGACTGCAAACAGCTCGCACACCCTCATCGGCATAGCAGATTGATTGTATCGTTGAAATCAAGAAGAACACCAATCATAACTGTAAATAATATATATATTGAAACCTTCTTTCCATTGTACATAGAGATCCATGAATCATCATAATAACAATCATCGCCAAGCCAACGTTGGACGTCGGATGGCAACCCGAGGAGGACACAACAACACAGGCCGACGATTCATGGCTCAATATCGTACCAACAATAACAATCACAACAACAACAACAACAACAACAGCATCCATCGCCCTTCTTCGGCCATACCTCAACAATCACCACAACAGCATCCATCTCACCATCATTATCATCATCGGTCTTATTCGACCATATCTATGAATCGCTCACATTCATCGTCATATCCTTCTCGTGGAGGACGAGCTGATCGAACAATGGTTTCACGAGGGCCAAATCATCATCATTTGCAAGCCAATGTTTCTTCTTCTTCCACCACTCCTCACCAACAACAACAACAACAACACCACGACCATCAAGAACATGCTACAACCTCACATCATCAACCACATGATGATGATGATTCAATTATTGTACTCGATGATCTTGATCATGAAGAAGAGGAGGAACCAGAATTTGATGATGCAGCTTCAAGCAGTAGTAGTGATAGTTATAGCAGCAGTAGTAGTAGCTCATCATCCTCATCATGGATGTTTGCCGACTTGAATAATCACCATCAGACGATCAATCACCAGCATGCTGAAGAGAACAATCAAGAAGATGCCCTTACCTTACCTTTATTCGATCAGGATGAGGAAGATGAATTGTTTCTTGATCCGAGAGTCTCCATTATTGATTTTGCACGGGAGCAAGTTTCCTCTCCCGAAGTTTTAAACATTTCATCAGGATCTGAAGGGGCGGAAGTTGTTTCGGAGACTAATAATACCAACAGCAACAACAGCAACAACAATAGAACTGCTAATAATATCAGTTTATTCAACACAGCAACAACAACAACAACGAATACTACATTGCCACGTGGAAATCATTCAACAACAGCACCCAGTGCACCAAGAAGACCTCCACACTGGACTGTGGCTTCTCCAGTTTTGAACAATTCAAGACGAAATGGTTCATCATCTTCAGTGAATTTACTTCCCACTCGATCCTTCGTAGCATCGACCACAAATTCACCTCATGCAAGATCGAGACACAACACGGATCATCATCAAGTGACACACGACAATATTGATGATTTTCTTGAACAATTGGAAGATGAGGAAAGAATGGAACAAGGACGCAACAGAAATAACAATAATAATACACATGACCAGAGACGTCCTTTAACGGCCAGAACCGAACGAATGCACAGATACAGATTTAATGCGCCTTCATCGAGTAGTGGAAATCATTCCAATAATAGTAGCAATACTCCTTCGTCGTTGGCTGCTAATTTTATCTCACGATATCATGACGATGACAATGACATGCATCACCATGGTTTGGATATGTCACATCCTCTCTTTTTAGAGCTTCAACGAAGAGAATTGGAGCGATACAGCAGAATGAGACAAACCACTACCTCAAATAGTAGTCGGGAGGACAACCGAACAACTACCAATAACTTACACAGAGGATCCTCCAGCTCTAGCAGCAGTACCAGTACTACATCACCAACCTCTAGTGAGTCTTCTTCATCTTCCTCAGCCTTACGTATCCCTCAACAAATATTCAGATTTCTCCACAACGCTTCACACCACCATCCACAGCAACAACAGCATACTTCTAACACTTCGCCGTTCATTCATGCTCCAACTCTTTTATTTACACCTCCCACCATATTTGCGCAACCAACAACTTCAACATCTCATCAGGGACGAGGCCCATTCCGATTCCATCATTTGTCACACAACAATAATCGACATGGAATTATTGGAGGATCAATTCACCCTTTATATTTTGTTGATAGAGATTTCGATGAGAGAGATTATGAATTGCTACTACAGCTGGATGCTCAACAACCAACTAAAACTGTTGAGACATCAATCATTGACAAAATTCCTCTTGTGACAGTGGAAGAAAGCAGTTGCACATGTAGCATTTGTTTGGATGATCTTGAAGTTGGATCTAAGGCTAGAGAAATTCCAATTTGTAATCACAAATTCCATTCTAACTGTATAGAGACTTGGCTTAAAGATTATGGCCATACATGTCCAGTTTGCAAGCAAGCCGTATCAGAAATTGACTTTGATGCTCTCAAAGAAAATGAAAACCCAAAAAAGAGAAAGGACATGGAGAATGTTCAAGAAGCAAGTACGACGAATTCTCAGGCAAGAAAGAAAGCCAAGCATAGAAGAAGGTAACCACTGAGCTCTGTAGAGTTAAATAAAATAATTGTAAATATTGTAATTGTAAAATCATTAAGGAGGATTTAATTCTGTCTTGGCAAAAAATTAGTTTTAGGTGGAAATTCTCAATTCAACAAATAGGAAAAAAGAAATGGCTCAAAAACTCAATAATAATTTGTTTTTGATCAAGGATACAGGTTCATTGTAATTATAAAAATAATAATAATAATAAAATTTAGAAATCAGGATGGTCAAACAACAGTAATTATTGTTTTTTGGCCATTTCGAGAATGGACTCAAAGCTTTTCCTCTCAGGTATGATATCTTCAAGAAAATCAAAAACATCACATGATTTCACAGCATCTGACATGTCACTATATTGAATTGTTTTTCGATTTTCCTTTGTTGCATTCTTGAGAGATTCCCTAGCTAAATGTTCAATAATTTTTTCAGCAGCTTTCGACACTACAATTACAGCTTCTTGCGAAATGGTCCTAACATCGGCATCACTTTTCATTATTCTTCTCACTCTTGCCACTGGCATGTCCACTAATTGTCGGATCGGTTGTTGTTGTTCCGATGTGAGTTGTACTGACGATGATGATGACGACACAGACGACGGATTGGCTCCTGAGAAAGACGACGACGATGCTGTCGGATCAGATGTTGGGTAATTCATTTTTTTTTTAAAAATAAAAAAAAGAACGAACTTATGGTTTCTATTCAAAACTTCAGAAGTACTGTTAATCATACTCAAAATAACCCAATTTCATTGACAATAATCTCTCTCAAATTGTTCAACAAATGATACAAGAATTCTTTGACGAGGTCGTTATTGAATTTTGCCAGTCGCTTGTTTTGTTGTTGCCCTCATATTGTTGTTGCCATCACTGCTACTACTACTTGAAAGTAAAGACTTTGGCATCATTTTAGATTCTAAAATCGTGTAATACAATGGAGCTAGTGCCAATCTGTCCAATATTTGTGTTTTGAAATCCACCTCAAAGAAGGAAAAAGCAATCAAGGTTCACCACAAGATATGAATGTTCTTCCTTTTTGGAGATTCATAGTCCCTTCTCTTCATTACAGTTAGTTAGCACTGATTCCACATGGAAAAGATATTTTCACAACAATATCTGATGCGATCACACGATTCTTTTTTATTTCCAAAATAGTCTCAAGAGCTGAAAGTTTACAAAAAAAATGTTTGCACACGCATTCATTCCGAGGAAGGACAAGATGGCAACCATGACATTTGGTCAGAAATTCTCTCATTTCAGGAGCCTCTCGATCTGATCACAAGCCTCTCGCAAGTCTCTCGCAGCTTGAGCTTCTTTTCCGAACATGGTCGAGGCGATCTTGCAGAGGTTATCAACTCGATGGAAAAATCCTTTATATTGGCCTCATCATCATCATTCTCATCATCATCAAGCGTTTGGAATGGCCATTCGACTTTGGTCCGATCTAAAATTATATTCCGTAACTATACAAGTGGTTGTCATAAGAGAGTGAAAATATGGAAAAAGAATCAACAACATTTATTCCAATAATGAAGAATGCAAAATACTGCTCTTTTTTATGAATTTCTCATTGACATGTTGTTGTCATGTTGGTGGAAACTTGAATGAATGGGAGAACTCCATGAATCATTTCTATGAAATTCAATTAGTGAAACATTACATGAAACAATTGGGTTGTGAATTTTCATCCTCTCCTCACTCTCTACAAACAAACAATGAAAAATTTTGCTTAATAACAAGTGCATTGTATGGCCATGTTGGAGTTGGAAAGACAAACTATGTCAAGTTTATACAAGGAGACATTCAAGAAGATTTTATGAGAAAGAATAATGGAATAGATTTTGCAATTAAAACAATGCATGTATTGGGAGAAGATTTTAAATTACAAATCTTTGACACGATTGGAGAACGATGGATTGTCAAAGGAGTTT